GAGGTACACATAACTGAAAGCATTTTGATTATTTTTTTATAAGAATCTTTTATCCAGGCAGTGTGTATTTATCCATGACACACACACTGCTCTTATCATCACCTCACTTGTGCATCTCAAAATCCTTTCTATGTACACTCCGTACCCAAGGGAAGACTACATGGGCTGACCTTGCACGATTTGCAATTACAGATACACCTAGAAATAAAAGCATATATTAAAAAAAAAAATGCATTTCATGGCCAACACAAGCAAACATATGAGAAGTTTTTCCAAAAGAAACCTCTACAAAGATGGTAGCTATGCTACCTGTATTATGGGAGCAAAAATACCAGGGCTGGCTCTGCTCGGCCATATCAGGTCTAAGGGCAAACCATCACCAGACTCTCCAAGTCACACTAATGTACCCTGTCAAAAGGGATTATACCAGCACATGAACCTTCAAGTCTCAACCTGATACTTTTGCATTGCTCTGTCCAGAGCTGGAAAATACATCCAATAGTTCAGATCAGAAAGTCTGTTAGCACATTTTGGTTTCATTCTGTCCCACATGCTTGAGAATACTTCCCAACAGTTGGTGTTCAAGACAGGATTAAGCAAGCGCCAGTCTCACCTTGCCATGTTTTGGATACAGCTAGATTTAAGTGCTGGGATTTGCTCCTGAGTTTCTAAGTGTACAGAAGGTCTAACTTTGTGCAAGGTGCCACAGGGAATTGGTAGCAGGCAGACATCTCTGTCCACATCTCGGGGTACACCCCAGCTATAGGAATGCACTGCCCTTCAAAGATCTAGCTATTCTGTTTGAGTATATATCATGCATTCCAGCCCATAGCAGCTTTCAGTCAAATATCTTTGAGGTATTTTCGTAATCTACCTTTGGTACAAAATAAGTCTTAGCAGCATTGACAGATCAAAGCAGATTCAGCAGTTGTCATGAGATACAAATACAAAATAAACCTAAATTAAAAGCATTTACAATCAAACAAAAATATTTAAGGATATTGAAGTTAAACAGTGCCAATCAAGTAGGAAAAAAAAAAAAAGTAACATATCCAAAGTTAGAGAGGAAAAAACAGAGGATATATCTAGCAAAAAAGAAAAACAACAAAACAAAACAAAGCCTTGAACCTGCATCAGCTTGAAACGATCTAAATGAATAATCCTGTTAGATACTGCTCTCTTTGGCAGGATATCATTATCAGGATTGGAGTCAGTAGGTCCAGAACTCAGCAGAGATTCATCTCACAGGATCAGCCCTACTTTAAGGAGATTCCCCACAGCACAGGCTGTGCAGAAAGAGGATCCATTTTATGAAAGCTGACATGAGAGCCACGTGAAACAGTTATTACAAAGGAATGACTACACAGACTTCATACTTCAGGTTGGGAAAAAAAAAAAGCCCACAATGGTGTGGGATGATACATGTCTTTCAAGCCATGACTGCCCATCAAGGGTGAACAGGGAATAATTTTTTCCATAAACTCTCAAAAGAGGAACTAGGATGCGGGAGAAAAAAAAAAAAATAATTGCAGCCATAAAGTGACAGGTTTAAAAACAAATAAAAGGGAATTTTTTGCCTTTTTTTTTTTTTTCTTCCATGCAACTATAAAAGGATGCTGCCGATGCAGTTTACATACATTCAAAAAAAAAAAACAAAAACCCAAAAACACAACAACCCACAACACCACTGCAGGCTATCAAGTACAAAGGCAAAAACAAAGATACCACCCTGTGTTTAGAAGGTCCTTAGCTACGACCCTGCAGGATGGAAGCTAGGAGAATAAGCTGTGGGAATACTTCTTTGACTCGTTCTTGTATTTTTCCCTAGATAAAATGCAGTGAGCCAGAGCAAGTTTCTGATCATCTGGCACAGAGAGAGGGTATATGATCTCTGAGCCAGCAGGAGAGCAAGAGAGGACAATCACCAGAATTCAAGCAAGCCAAGGCACAAGTGATAGTTACTGGACAGAATGGAAGAAAGCTTGAAACCAGTGAAACAAGTTCAGCATCTGCTTTTTCTCTTTCACACCCTACAGCCATTTCACAGCATACTCTCCAAAGAACAGAACAGCTTTTTCTGCCCTACCTTGATTCCCCCAAAATTCCTGTATATCAAAACGGAATGTTACTAATACTCAACCAAAGAAATCCTTGCTATTTTCTTGCACTAATCTCACTCCTCACAGTTGCAGAAAGCATCAGATGCTTAGGATCACCTATGCATTCATCACAATAACCATCACACACACCTCTCAAGAGCAGAAATGCACACATCAGAAGCAGCAAAGTGGAGGGGGAAAACGTCACCATTTGTGCCTGCTTCACAAACCAAAAGCATCAGACATATAAATAACCTGATGAGAGAATACAGAATTTCCTATATATGATACATGCTTGAAACCTAAACAACAGGGCATTGCACTGAGGATAACATTTGCTTCCCTCTCTGTAATTCTCAACATGAAATTATTATATTATTTACACAATACCTACAACTTCTATGTTATGTAAAAAACTGACAGAGTATCTAAAAACAAATACATTACACAGTAAAAAACAAGCGTTCAGAGCTTACAATTTCAGGTTCCAGTTCCCTGCCCTGACACAGACTTCCTGTACTGCTGTGGAACAGTCATTTGATGTCCACAGACTTCAAATAAAATGTGCATAAAATGGAGGCAGCAGTACTTCATTTCCTCAGCAGGATATTGCAAGAATAAACAGAAGATTGTGAAATATCTGCTTACCACTGGACTGGAAGTCACAGAGAAACCTTTAATAGGTAAGAGAAAGAAACATTCTAAGTTACTCAGGTTGCTCTGGAAATAACGCCTCCTATTTATTTCCATGGAAACTACAAAAGATACAAAGAGCAAAATAGGACTGATAGAGCAAATTCTCAGCTAAAAACACTCTTCTTCCACACAGCACCACCATTGGCTGTGCATTTTCAGATGTGATGAACAAATGCCTGAATGCCACATTCCTAGAAATTGGCATCCAGTGGAGGTGACCCACTGTTTCACGGTATTGCACCACCCACTGCCTCACTGTGCTCACATCCATTCTTTTGTCTCTATAAATGTTCAACAAGTGCCCACGAGTGTCAAAAGCTGCAACTGTTTTCACATGGAGGAATTCAATTCCACACCTTTGCTTCATACATGCTTCCACACCTGACGCCATTTTGTCAGACCGTCCCTCTGCTGCCATCTGTCACACAGCAATACAATGTGATGGAATACTGGCAGGAAGGTTCAATCTACTGCCACACTATCATACTATTTACCTCTGACCAACGTCTAGGCCAACACAGCAAAATAGGAGGCATTATTTTCAGAGCAGCCCTCATATTGTCTTTTCCTCTTACAGAAAGAGCACTTCCAGCCTCAGCCACCCAATTTTCTTCCAGGGAAGAAAAACTTTTGCCTGTTCACCCTGTGAACAAAGTTGCTACAACTGTAAGAACATTATAGCACCAGGAGAACATATTCCTATACGTCATTAATGGTATATGAAAGGAAGCCAGCACGCTCTTATTTTTATTAGTAGATTATCAGAGCACAACAATATCACAAGATTTGTTCACAGAAGGTTAAATCAACACCCTACAGTAAACCGACAAAAGACTACTTAAACCCCAAATTCAGCCCTCACGGTGAGCCGGTGACAGCCATCTGTCTACACAGCACAGGGAGATCTTTCTGGACCAGAGTATAAAAAGCACTTCTGCGCCAAGGGCATTTCCTTCGGGGTGTTTTTGGTCTCCCACAAAAAGCCAAAGGAACCTGTAAAACCCGGAGCACCGGTGTAAGCACGCAGCCCCCGCTCAGTGACACGTGTTGATTCAACGCCGCTCGCTGACAGCGCCGTCCCCGTCTTCCCTCGATTTTTAAAGCACGCGGAGCTCAGCCGCTTTGTTAAATCACACTGCGCGGAACAGCCGCGAAGATACGGCAGAGCAGAGAGCGTGCTCGGCTCCGGGTCAGGAACCGGTCAGCACCGCTTCTGACACGCACTGAGGCACACAGGCAAACGCAAAATACAGAACAAGAGCAGTATGTCAGAGATAGTCCACAAATAAACACGTAATAAGCGGCCGGGAGATAACCCGCAAGCGCCGGTCAGGTGGGTGACGAGGACGCACGCCTCCGAAAGCCACTGCCGGGAAGATGAGGTCCCTCAGAAGAGCAGGGCGAGGAGCGGGGCAGGGCCGCCCGCAGCCCCACGGGACGCCGCGCCCCGGCCGAGGAGCGGAAAGTCGCAGCCGAAACAAAGCGCGCCGCTGCTCGGGGCTGGGATTTCAGAAAGGCGCTAACAAAAGGCGCGGCGCGGAGCGCTCCCGACGCTCCATTTCCCTTCGAGATTCACGCGAGCCCGCGTCCTTTCCGCGCCCTCGCCGCTCCGGCAGCGGGGCGAGGGGCCGCTCCCGCGTGGGGCGTCCGCACGAGGCCGCGGGACGAGGCCACGAGGCCGCCCGGGCGCGCTTCCCCACACCTGCCACGGCGGCCGCGCCGTCCCCGCGCCTCCCCTCCGCCCCCCGCCCAGTACCGCGCCCGGCCGCGGGGCGAAGCGCTGCCCGCGGGCCCCCCGCACCTGTCGGGTGGGTGCGCGCTCCGGGAGGGCAGGCGCGGCGGCGGCACTGGCAGCGTCAGACAATGGAGGAGTGAAGGACGGACACATTGACACACGGCGCCGCTGCGGCCGCCCCCTCCGCCCGGCCGTGCCACTGCCGGCTGCTCGCGGGGGGACGGAGCAGAGGGAGCGGGGAGGAAACCCGAAGGAAAGGGCGAAATGCAGAGGAAAGCCGGCCGTTCGGCTTTTATAGCGGGAGCAGAGAGGGACGCTGTCTGTTCTCTCGGCCGCGCCGAGTCGGGACGCGGGCATAGCGGGAAAGCGGGAGCGGCTCCCCCCGCACGGCGGTACGCGTAGTGCGGCCCGGGGACGGAACCCGGCGGGCGGGCGGCGGCGGCCGGGCCGGGGTTTGAGGTGCGGCCGGGCCGTGCCGAGCTCGCCTGGCTGGGCGGCGCCGCCCCGAGCCTGCCCTAAGGGCTGGGGGACCGCCATGGCTCCCCCGCGGAAAGGCGAGTTGAGCCCGGAGGAGAAGGATTTGCTGGGAGTGATCGCTAAAGGTGAGCCCGGCCCGCGCGCCGCCCCGCGCTGCTGCGGGCCTCGGCGGCGCCGTGCGGCTGTTCCCCGCCGGCGGGCGAAGGGCGGGCCGCGTCTCCCTGTGCCCGCCTGCGCGGAGTGGGCTCGGGCCGGGCCCGGCTGTGTGGGGAACCTCGCGTGGTGTGTATGTTGGCGTGACTCGTGTGCATCGGCCTGGCTGATGCGTGCTGAGAAAGCGTCCTTTGAAGATCTGCTTGTCTCTAGCCTCTGGCCTGTCACGCTGGCATACGGGATGTCTCTACAGGCAGAGCCTACTAAGATTAACAGAACTTGCGCTTGGCCGGGGTGTCCTGCAGCTCTTATCACTGACGTAGTTTTATTTTGTGCTTCACACGTGAGTTGCTGTTTCCCCACATCACACTGCCCACATTCTTATTGCTGGGAGGGTTTTTCTCATGTTGGATTTCATGGGCCTGCACAGATAATTTACAGCCCTGTTTGAACATTTGTACTCAGAACGCTATTCTGGAAGTTGTGAGAGCTGTTAGCTGGAGGTAAACTGAAGACACCCGTGTTACATGCGCTTGTGTGTGTAGTTCTGAGCCAGTCTTGTTAACGTGTGCCCCTATGTCAGAGACAAACTGAAGTTCATCACTGACTGTCCTAATATGGTTCAGGATCAACTGATTGACTCACCAATCAATAACCAATTTGAAACCTTAAGTCTTGCAAACGTTCTATCTTACCACATGCTTATAATTAAGGTCATAGAGGAGTTCAGCTTGGAAAGGACATCAGGAGTCTCCTGTCCAATCTCCTGCTAAAAGCTGTCCAGCTGTGAGTCTGCCATAGGTTGCTCAGGGCTGTACGTGATCAGGCCTTGAAAACCTCAAAGGATGGAGACTGCACCATCTCTCTGGGCAACCTCTTCCTCCTGGGCTTATAGTTAAATGTTTTTCCTTGTAGAATCATACAGTTGTTTGAGTTAGATGGAACCCTTAAAGGTTGTCCAGTCCAACTTTCTTGCAATGAACAGAGACACCTACAGCTGTGTAAAATCATAGAATCCTTAGAGTTGAAAGGGACCCTTAAAGGTCTAGACCCTTATGTCTATAAGGAACCTCTCTTTCTTTCAAATTCTGCCTATTGTCTCTTGTCCTCCTATCACACAGCATTAGGAATGGCTCAACTCCAACTTCCAGAGCTAGCCAACCCTGGAACTCTGACATTTGCCAAAGTTGAGTGCCCTGTTTGGAAATCCTCAGGTGATTTTTCATACAGAGCTCTGAATTTGTAAATGCAATTTTGCTTTGTATTATCTGCCCAAAAGTATGCTTTGACAATCATTTCTTGAGGATTTGCTCTAACAAACACCTGTCCTGTTGCTGAAATATTCTTCTTAAAACCACGTCAGGCCCTAAGAAGCTTCTTGTACGTTAAGGAAAAAATTGTTTGAGGGAGCAGGCTAGTTGGCAGTGCCCTCACCTTCAGGCATTGTATTTTGCTGGATTGTCATCGAGGTGACCCAGATTACTGGCTCTTTTCCCTCAAATAATTAATTTTCAGCTAGGAGTAAAACTGAGATTGCAAAAACTCCTGAAAAGTTGCTGAATGATCACCTTCTTGTGATGTAGTGAAGTTAAACGTGAAGCCCTTCATTAAATGAGAGATATCGGGCTTATTTTTATTAAGCAGGCCACTGTTAAAGTAGTTCTACTTTGCTGATCAGAATTGTCTGTCAATTGGCAATAAATTAAATTTCCCAGTTTGAGACTCAGCGTTCCTTAATTTCTATTTGCTTGAATGGCTGATGCATATTGAAGAGACATTGCAGGACTCTTCAGCAATGTCAGCGGGCTTTGACTGAAGTTCTTACATCTTCAGTTGAAAAGGTTTTTGTAGTAGTTTGATTTGTAAAAATCAAACAAGGTACAGCCCATTCTTTTTCCTTGTACAGATTTTTCAGACTTCAATCTACACATGGATTTGTTTTTGTTTCCTGTTTTGAAATGTCAGTGATCAAGTTACATGGTCCTTGTACTCACTTCCTGCCTTTATTCTGTGTTACTGTAAGCAAATTTCATCTACATTAATGGACTTGTGAGGTGGGAAGTTGCAAACCCTGCATTTAAGCACTAAGGGAGATTGAACTTTAAAACATATTTCATTCAGACCAAAAAAGTGAAATGTGATAATTTCCTTCTTTTAGATGTAAGAGATGTAAGGCCTCCAGAAATACAGAATGTGTTAAAATACTCAGTATCATTTTATTCAGTTGTTCTGGTGCAGTTTATGAAGACATACGTCCTGTTCTTGTGTGTGTGTGTAGATCAGTTACTTCAGAAAAATGAATGCTTACTCATAGTGCACTCTTTCAGACTACTCTTTTAAATTGAGACCTTGGCCTTTAAACTTCTAGAACATAATACTGTTCTTTCCTATGCCTCTTCACCAGGTGTGATGAATTTATTGATGCTTAGTTACAAAGGTTTTTATTGTAATCCCAATTATTCCCTAACATTCCCAAATGGGACTGTTCTTTTTCCCCTAATTCTTGATTTCTTATTCTCATCCTCTTTTCTCTCTTCCTCTTTTTAATTAAAGGGAATGTTGAAGAGGCTGGAAGGCTGCTGGGCAGCAAGAATGTCCATGTCAATTGCTTGGATGAGGTATGACACAACTGTGCAAGCGTTGTACTGGCTTTAGCAATTGCAAGACTAGGTCCAAAGGCCTGTCTGGTGTTAAATAACTTTGCAATGCAGACTCTTGGAAGTTAAAATTCCTCTGAAGTTTCCAGCCTGCAGCTGAATAATGAACCTTTGAAGAGCTCTAAGCTTTTTCTAAAGGAAGTTTAATGTTACTTTGTGTAGTGCATGCTGTGTATTTTCTCTAAAGTTACTATGTGAGCTTTGGTGTCTATAAGGTAAGTTGAACAACACTGCAGCAAGATAAATGGAGGCATGCCTGGCTTCTTGTCACCCCCTGCCTAACTGTACAACCCATCTGTTTGTGCAACAGCAGGCAGTGTGAATAAAGAGTTGCTGTCCTTATTTTTTACCCATCTCTCGTTTGCACCTCATCTTTGCAGAACCATAAACAGAAAGAGCAAGCAGCTAGGTCAGAAGTGGAAAACGCTGTCTTTTGCAGAGACAGAGGTGATAGTTTGTATAAAAGACATAATTCTAAAGTGTGACACAAAGATGGGAGGAAATTCTTGAAGAAAAGTCTCTTGTGGCAGATTCATGTCTATTTCCTCTTTGTTCTTTTTACAGGGTTGTTCTAAAGCATACAACATGACTGATGTATAATCAAGATGTTATAATCACAATATAGTCAAGAGAATCAGGCAAAGTAAACAATGATCACAAAAGAGAATAAGTGGAAGAGCTTACCCCTCAGCTGAGCTCACCAGAAGACACCAAGAGAGGTGATCTCCAGAAGAGATCCTTCCCCTCTGGTAGCCAGCTCTTAAATAGGTCTAGGAGGGATGGAGCCTGGCTCCACCCCTTCCGGCAGCACAGGTGAATTGCCTTCAGCTGTGCTCCTCTGGCTGACTTATGAATCGCCTCAGGTGATCAATCAGAGGTTCAGGCCGTGACTCAGCAGTTCCCATACAACTGAAAAATGTAACATGAAAGCAGAAATGTAATTGTCCTGTATGCATGTTGGATCCCTGAATAGTTTATTAAATTTAAATGTCCAATGGCTTGTGTCTGTTCTTGATTAGGTACTTCGTATCATTTTGTGCTTTTCCTGACCTTACCACTTCATAAGATCACCAGTGAGTTTAGGCTAGAAAAGACCTCAGAGCTTAATCTCATTGTCTCTTGCCTTCCCACCACTGTAAGTGAACACTCAGGCTGCTTTTAGGTCCCCATAAAGCCATCTGCTCTCCAGCTGACCTAACCCAATTCTTTCAGCCTCTCTTCACAAATGCTCCAGCCCCCAACCTGGGAGCTCCTACCATGTCTAGGTGGTAACTCTGCTGCACTCGCTGCAGTTATCCCTGCCTTTGTTGTAGTGCAGGGCCAGAAACTACAAAAAATATTCAGGATGGAGCCTCATGAGTGCTGAGGGAAATGATCTCTTCATTACAATGATTACCAGTATCATATATTGGTTATGTTCCTGGGATGCTATTAGCATTTTCTGTACTAGTGACAGATCCATTTTCTGATTGTTTTTAAATACAGTTTACAAATAAAATTTTAAATGTTTATGAATTTCAAAAGCTTCTGACAAACTAATCATGCTCAGATTTACAGTAAATTTTAGGAATCCAAGATAAATATGTTTGTAAATGTGTTTTTAATTTATGAATTTACACAGCGTTTATTTTTGTGCAGTAGCTGAAGTAGTGCACCCATGATGCATTATTAGTGCAACATGTAGGATTACTGCTGAGAGGATATGGTTTATTAATAGGCACCACAGCTGAGTTATGCCTCAGGATATTGTTAAAGAAGAAACAGTATGTGCCTGGGGTATATTTAAACAGCTCAAGCCATGGACTTCCTTCAGTCTCCTTCCTCCCTGCCTCCCCAGCAGTGATAAATGTAATGATGCATGTTCAGATTTATTTAGGATTTTCAATCCAGCAGTTGTCTCATGTCAGCTTTAAATTTTTTTCTGTTACAAATTGTTTTGCCTGTAATGTGTTATTCTAGTAACTGTACATAAATAGTGTACGAAATACCAACTGAACATTAGCTTTGTTATCCAAGGTTGCCACAACTGGAGACTGCTCTGAATGCATCGGTCTTGTTTGCTTCCTCCACTGCCCTCACTGTTATCCTGAACTTCACATTATTACTGTATTACTGCTGTTATTTTTTATTCAATTTTATTAATTTAATAAGTGAGGAATTGGAGCCTTGACAATCAAATGCTTAGATACTGAAAGGAAAGCATAATTTAGTTGGGAGCTAGGAATTCATTTCCTTCCTCACAGTTCTTTTTTACATGAGATAGTCCACAGAATGAGCAATTTTGTTTGCATTTACAGCAAACATGCAAACACAATTTATTAATTTCATGCTCATAACTCACTCTTTGATTTAAAAAATATGTATTAATACATAAGACAGTGTCCTGTTAACTTCTGGTTTGAATGTTTCTAGCTTTGTATTCCAACTGCTTAGGTCTACTTTCTTTTAGATTAAAATTACTGGCAGTCACCAGTCTTTTCTCTATGCATCTTTAGACAAGGGCCAAATCAGATTTCAGTGCCTTTAGTCTGATTTCAGTACGTTTAGTACACTGACTTTCAAAGTGTCATACCTAAAGTTATGCATCCTCCAGTAATTGAGCTCTCCCTGTTTTCAGAGGGGTTTGACCTGAAAAGGCTTCACGCTTTTTCCTTGTTGAAATAATGTTAAGGTTGTTCAGAATCGTAATACAGAGTATGCCAGTGACGTTGGCAGCATTACTTTTTTTTTTCTAGTTTGATAATACTGCTGTTCTTCCTACAATGTAACACGTGTCTTTTACAAACACTCTGCATCTCTGTGCTAGCTACAGAACTGAATGATTTATTGGAATTGCAAAGGCAGCTTGCCTGCTAGTGTATTCTCTCCTATTAGTTATATTCAGTGCAGGGTTTTGCAGTCACTCTGTCTTGCTACTCCAGTGTGAATTTCCATATTAGCAGAAAAATTTTCAAATACATGGTCAGGAGAAAAAGTTGTGTCTTCTGATCTTTTTATGTAGTACTTCAAAATTCACAAACTGAACAAAATTCAATATGTATTAAGCATTCTGTGATTTTAATGTAGGACTTTGACTAGCATAGAATTTCTCATTACTACTGTTAAACAGTCAGAAATATAATGTGTTACACATGTGAAACCAACAACTCAGCAGGATGGCTAAGGAGGAGGAGGAAGAGTGTAACTATGAGAGGTATCTGCACTCAGTGAACAGTATTTCATGTTAGAATTAGTTTGTACTTAGCTGTAGATAGAATGATTCATTCATATATCTATTGACTGCTTTCCAGATCCAGCTTGTAGCATATTTAAGTGGATAAGGATGATCTTACTCAAAAGCTTTAAGGCTGGAAATTCTAAAGGCTTTCACTGAATGAAAGTTCCAGTCATATACTTGCCAAAACCAGGACACAGGACAAGCAGCTTTTCGTACTACTTCTGTTAAGTCAGAGGCATTTTTACAATTTAATTCAAGTATCTAGCTGAACTGGGTTGCGCCAAACTGGCCTCTACAAAGTTTCTGTTTGTAATGTATTATGCACAGTAAGATAGAATGCTTTTCTTTCTATTACAGGACCACAAATGAAACCTAACAAAACCAGTCACAGATTTGTTTCATGAATGCCTCTCGCTTCTCTAATAGCAGTTTGTATTGCAGCGTGTGAAAATATTTCAGATTACTAAAATAAAGTGCTGCAAGAATTGTTTTTAATGTTTTCATTTAGAGCAGGGAGTAATGAAATTATACTGAAAATTGTTGTCATAATTTTAACTTGCTTGATTTCTCTCACCTCTAGGATTTATTTTTTATTTTTTATTTTTTTGGAAATGCTAATTAAAAATCTAACTTTAGGTTTTGTTCTACAGAAATAAAAATACATTAAGGCTCAAACTGACTATTTCAGAACATCACATCACCCTGCATTTATGGAGCTGTGGTAATGGTGTATATGAGTGTAGCTGTGCACGTTACCCTGACCTGCAAGAACAGGGAAGAAAATGTCAGTTTGATTTCTTTATGGGACAGACCAAATCACACGTCTGTGTGTTCAGTGCTGGAGAATGTTTTTAGGCAGTTACTGTGTCTTGGCTGATAACTTACATCCTGACTTTGCATTAAGTGAAAATAAACTGCACATTGGAAAAAAAAGTTTATCAAAGTTGAAGAACGTGAATGTAATTCAGTTTTCTCAGAAAGAGCTCAAGAAGATGCTCCCTGCTCTTTGAGAGTAAGTCTGTATCAACCATTCTTCCCTGTCTGGAAAATTTCCCCTAGGACTTGCCTACCTTTGCATTGGTAATTACATGATAACTCATGGCCTTCCCTGCTCAACCTAATCATTTTTGCTCTGGTGTGGTTTATCAAAAGGCAAGAATTGAGGCTGTGTGGTTGTTAAGGTCTAGTTAGAGCTAGGCACAGCTTTATAAAAGGCATTTAGGGCTCTGGCTGATGTAGGACTGCAAACACGGTGCCACCAGAAAGATAAGTGGGAGTCAGGACAGTACAGTTACCAACAACATGACTAACCAAGGTGCGTTTTAGAAACCACAAATCTTTCTAATGGCAAAAACAATAAGACCCTATTCCTAATTTTACTTATCATTTAATGCAGGAGGAAAAGTAACAGCTTAGGGGCGTGACAGATTTTCTAAAACAGGCTTCTACTGCTATGACAAGCACTAGTTGTCTATGATGCTCATGTCTTACAAAGAAGACTAATGTTTAATTTGTGGGAAATGGTTTTCATTTTTTTAAGACTTGTCTGTTTTCACACATATAACAGTATCATCAGAAAACAGTGACACTATGGAAAGTGGAAATAATGCTGCATGTTAGTAACCCCATTTCTTCATCGACATTGTGTGACCTTTTTTGTTCTTACTCCCTAAAGGTACACGTGCTTTGGCAGGAACTTTCAGTATGTGTGAGCAAGTGAAAATTATCAATGGCATGAGAAACAAGAGATACAACTAATTCTTTTTGCATGCTTCTTCCTTCCTCTCTCTAGCATGGCATGACTCCTCTAATGCACGCGGCCTACAAAGGGAAAGTAGACATGTGCAGGTTGCTCTTGCGACATGGAGCTGATGTTAACTGCAATGAACACGAACATGGATACACTGCCTTGATGTTTGCTGGGCTTTCAGGTAACGTAGTACAGAATTTATCTCACTGAATTTTGAGACATTGGTGTATACAGTTTGACTTAATAAGTTGAAGGAATGCATTGGCACCTTGGTTTGATTAAGGCTTACGTGGCTCATGTTAGCGTGTTGAGAATCATCAGGACAGTGCAATAGAGGAGTTGCTGTTTTTTTCATACAAAATTTTTCTCTGTTCAGCTTTTTGAGGCCTATGGCATATCTGCACTTAGTTCTGTTCGGTCACATGTCTAAATTCACTCTGTAACCATTTTAGTGTACAGTAGGATACATTGTTTAATTATATTCTATTATACTGGAAAGGATACTGCACCATACTGCCTTCTTTAGGACTTTGTGTCAGTAGCTTTTAGTGATACATGAAGCTTATCCAATCAATCCAATATTTTTTCAAACGTTGTCTCTCTTCTACATTATTTTTGCAACTATGTTGTGAGATCATGCAAATTTATTTGTTTTAAAAATGTGTTTTTTTTACTTTTTTTTTTTTTTTCTATTTCTCATCCTTTTTTTTTTTCTTCTTTTTTATTTATTTTTTTCTTTTTTCTTTTTTCATGAGAGAGCTTATAGTAATATATATCTTCTCCCAGTTCAGGTGGAGCTTTGCAATATTCCTCTTGCCTTTCTCGTGTTCCTGATGCAAAGAGCAATAATTTTCTCAAGTGAGGAAAAGGCATTACGTAAAGACAATGTTTATTCCAGAATAAGAGTTAGAATTGGAAATGCTGTATTACTTTAAGTATCTTTTCTAATAGGCCACTTACTTCCGTAGAACCTCCTGTTTGGGAAGATGTAACATTTGTTATCAGGTAGAGTTTAAACTCTGCTTTCTTTCATTGTAAATTCAGAAGAAAAGAAAAAAAAGGCTTTGATGCCTTAAGTGGCTCACAAAGCTGCTCAAACTTTGGTAAAAAGATTTCAGCATTTTGTGGCATTGAGCAATATCCAAAGTGCAGCAAGTAAATAGGAACAAACTGTGAGAGGCTGTTAAATGCCTGCAGCTTTATTGAAATTGCAGGATTTTTACCATTTTCTCCCAGCTGTGATTTTAATCTGCCATCCTGGGTTTTAATGCTTCTTAATGTTGACTTTAAGATCTGTTACCTGTGAGTGCAAAAGGTACATGAGCACTATTGACACAAAGCCTTTCTTTTAAAACCAGAAATATTAATTTTTGTCTACCAGCCCCTTCTTTTTTTATATTCAAATTTTCTTTTCAGTTAGCATGTGCACAGCAACTGTTAAAGCAAAAATAACTTTGAAAAGAGAACCAGCACAAGTGGTGACAAGTGTCCTAAATAGCCTCTAAGGGCACCAATTATGTCATATAATCTTCCCATCAAATTTTAGCTTCATTTTATTTGGTATTTAGCCCAGTCTGAACACCCAGTTCCTGCTGAGGAGAAAGGAACAATCTGTTCCCTTCTCGAAGCTCCTGCTACATAACAGTACTGAGTTTTTTATTCTTAGAATAGCAAACGTTTAGCTGAACTGTCAAACGAGATTAGTAGAATTTGCTTCTGTACTGCCATCCAGGGGGACCAATTGTTAGTGGAATTGTATGTGTGTGACTCCCATAAGCTCTGCAGGGAGCTGAATGTGTATTACAGAGGGCAGAGTTTTACCCTGCGTGAATTTAGTTTCTACTTTGATGTAACCCTGTGGGACTGTAAAGAGGGCGGCAGCAATGTGCATTTCTCTTAGTTAATTCTTAATGTACTTAAAATTATTATTTTTCCTCACTGTTACACATATTAGGTCTTAGTAAAAGTTTGATTTTGCTCTGACATGAAGAAATACAAGTTCTGGTTTGTCTTGCCTAATTCTCCATATCCTCCCCCCCAAATACAGGAAACAAAGAAATCACCTGGATGATGTTAGAGGCTGGAGCTGAGACTGATGTTGTCAATTCTGTGGGAAGGACAGCAGCTCAGATGGCTGCTTTTGTGGGTAAGCTCAAAGTGTGGCATCATTTCCTAAATCCTTAAAGTAAAATGTCAGATTTTGGTGCTTTTTATTGGAGAAATATTGTTTAATGACCTGTTTTGAACTAACACCATTATTCATCATTTTCTTTTTCACATCTCATCCCCTTACCAGAGTCAGTTTGTGTTTTATAAATACCCAAGTGATGGTATCGATAAGAACAAATGCTGCTGTTCTCCAAGTGTGCAAATGTATGCAATGTCATCACTTTTCAAACAGAGGAAACTGGTCACATTTATGGTTAGTCACCTCCTGCTCTTTTCCCTCTGCATGTGTGAGGGAGAAATCTCAGGATCTGTTTGGCACTGATTGATCAAAACTTGGTTGCAATAAAGAAAGTGTTGTCACTGCAGCGTGCTAAGTGATCCGGGGCAAAACATGCAGCCAGGCTTCTTTCTGTTGTTGTGGCTCACTTTTCTTTTTTTCTAAACTCCTTTTTAGTTCTTTACCAACGTTGGCACAGTGCTGGAGATTCCTGGCTTAATATTCCCAAATATAACCCAAATGTAGTACTTCTTATTTATTTCCAGCAAAGTTGTGTGATAAAATATAACCTGAAAAAGCAGTGTCTTTTTCAAAAATCAACTATTGCTTTCCAGATGACCTCCCCAGCAACTAAAAATGAACATCTATTTTCATTTGAACCCAGCCTTCTCATGTTCTTTAAACATCTGAGAACTCTCTCAGAAGTCCGTTAGTTGTTCCAGAAGAAGCTTACCTTGACATTTCCGTTTACATCCTGTAACAGTGAGTTATTGGGGTTTAAATTTAGATCATATCTGCTTTTATTCCTTTTTGGAGAAAAAGATTGCCAGTACTCGCAGCAAATCCTTAGCTATGTACTTAATGTGCTGTAGAAGTCCACTTCTATGCTTGGAATTTGGAGAATGGATATTGTTTTTGAATGTGTTGTTGAACTGGTGAATGGGTAATGATGACTCCAACATAATTTTTGAGAATTCTTTAAAAACTCATTGATCACCTCTGTAAGTATTTCCACACATACTGAGGTAGGCTGAGCATTGGAGTCCATTCTCTTTTATTCTCCGTCCAGTCAACTTTAAGTCATCTGTCTTTGTGTGGGAAGTGAGGATGTTCCCCCATCATTTGTTTGACACTGTGCTCTGTTACCTTAGGACATCTCGTCTAAAACACTTAAGGATTTTAAATGCTGGAATTTGGTTGGTTGTCTTCTGCTGCTGATAAAGGGAGTTAGTGCCAAGATAAATCAGTCAGTTTAAAGAATGTGGCCCTGAAGTACAGAAACTAAATGCTATTTTCTTTCAGCCTAGTAATCCATCATTTTGTCAGATGCAGAAAACAAGAAGAGGATGTAACTTTTCTCATCCTATTTCATCACAGTCCTTTTTTTCTGTTTTTTTTTTTCTAGGACATTTTCCACATGTTCTGTTCTTCTGGTTAATACACTGCTCTCTGTCTGAAATGTATCAGAAGTCACAATACAATTTTTTCAGACTACAAAGTGGACAAAGCTCTTGAGAAATTTTAACACCTGTGAGATGCTATTAGGATAGTTGTACCTCAGAGTCAAAATACTGACTTCTCTTATGGCTTGATTCTGAATACAGTGAATGACTTTGATAAACACTTACTTTAATTCTGGCTTAACAGGGAGAAAAAGGGATGGAATTCTAAAATGAAATGTCATTAAATTGTTTCCTTCCAGAATCCAAAAAGTCACACACCTTACAGAAGAAAAACAAGAGTTGCTTCTTACCAGTGCAAATCATGTGATGCTTAGCTTCCTTGTGTGTAAAGCTCACCTGTGTTGCTTATATTAGCTTGTGTCTCAGATCTTGTTTTTCTCTCATTCATGTTATGGTTACATGATTATTTTTTTTCCTTATGTACTTTTAGGTCAGCATGACTGTGTGACCATCATCAACAACTTCTTTCCACGTGAAAGGCTGGACTACTATACTAAACCACAAGGCTTGGATAAAGAACCAAAACTGCCAGTAAAGTTAGCTGGGCCGCTCCATAAAATTATTACTACCACAAATATGCATCCTGTTAAGGTAGAGTGATATGTAAATTGAACGTGTTTGTTGGCATGGGAACTGGTTTCATTTTTATGCCAAAAGGCACTCAGTTCTCCAGTGAGTCCAGTTAAGATGAAAAGCATTATCCTGTAACTCAGATACTTCTGAGAATGACGTAGAATCAGGCCTAATGTCTAGACATGATTCAAAAGTGAAGCAATTTCAGTGTTCGTATAGGTCAGAATTCCAAAATAATGCAATTAATCAGAGAGATTATTTCTAACATAGAAAAGCATAAATTGTGTGCTTTTCTGGATTTATTTTTTCCTAGCCTTACTTGAAATGGAAACAAGACAATTCCCTACCTTGACAAGTTGTCAGTGTTCTCTCCATGCTTGTCCCAGCATGCATCTTTCTACCTTAATCACTGTTTCACCATAGTAACAGCTGTTGCTGTTTCTGGCAGTATGTGCAAGAAGTGTTTATTTTTATTTCCAAGTATATTTGCTGCTAAAATTTTTTTTTTTTTTTTTTTAGGATTTTTCCTCCTGTGTAGTTCAGAGAAATTAATACACCTAATTTCAAAGACAAGCTCCTTGGGCTTGCTGTCCAAAGTTGGGAATTTGTCAGTGGTTGCCAACCAAGTATCTGCAGCATGTACGAACTGGCAGCTAATTTAGTGGGTGTATGGGCTCTTTTGAAAATGGTTAGCTCAGTGTGTTATCAGTCTACCTAAAGCATTCCAAGTATATGTGAGGTTGGTGTGTTCTTTGAAGTCACTTAAATTATGCAGATCCAGTTTATTCAGGTTTTCAAAAAGGAAATAGATTTTAGGACAGTGTATTGTAGTTTCTCTAAATGTTTCTTCTAAAATGCTTTTAATTCTCCAGGTATCTCTATTTCTTAGATATATATTTTAATACCAGTCTTAATTTTGAGCGTTTCATGCATAGGAACTACAAATACTAAATAATGACACTCAAAAAAGAAGGGGAAGACAGCATAAGACTGCAGTACAGAAATAGTAAAAACTCCACTGAAATTTAGGTACAAAGATTTATCTAACAAGTTTAAAAATACTAGCTCTGAATTGGATTACATTTTTTCTCATAGATTGTGTTGCTGGTAAAAGAGAACCCTCTATTGGCCGAAGTAGAAGCACTGCAGAAATGTTACAGGGTTTTGGATCTAATTTGTGAGAAGTGCATGAAGCAGAAAGATATGAATGAAGTACTTGCTATGAAAATGCACTACATCAGTTGCATCTTCCAGAAATGCATCACGTTCTTAAAAGAGCGAGAGGATAAACTAGATGGATTTATCAAAAGGTATGTATTTCTGCAGAAAGGTCTATGTATGAACTAACTTTACAGATAGCAGAAAAAGGCCACTGGAATAATCGTAGTAGTTGGACTGTCTCTAGTAAAAGCTCTGCCAAGTAGATTTTGAAATAATCCCAATAGCAGTCACTTCAGGGTTGCACTGACTCTTTTTTTTCCAGTGGTATTGTCGTCTCCTGGGGTACGAAGGAAACAATCCTTGGGTTTCAGCTCTGTGCTAAAACTGGCTAGAACTTGGCAATCCCACATACACTGTGAGGTAACAGAGAATTCCATGGTGGAAAAAAAGAGGGAGTGATAGACTTGGAAAAAAGTATTTCTGAGTCCAGTATGGATCATCTGGGAACACTTCTTTTGCCGTCTTGCTCTCTAGCAGTGAGACAGTGAGATTTCTCTTCAAAACACTTAAGCAAGTGAGAACTGCAAAATCCCACTGGCTTTAGATGACACTTGGGTTCTTAAATCATGTAGGCTGAACAGAATGCAGTCAGAGTTACAAAACTAGCTGCCTGATCTTAAAGTAAGTGGCCTGACCTGTAGAGAGGTCATATCAGAGCCCAGTGGGTCTTTAGGTGATACTGAAAATAAATCATAAATCAGTTTTCATATACTGAAATCAAGTTGTTCATCACTGAACCGCAGGAGCCAACCAAATAAATATAGAAGCATCAGGACGATAGCTTGTTACTAAATGTAAATAAAGCAGAATTTTTATTTTAAAGTATTGCTGTCTATTCTTTACTGTTTACTTTCACAATGTGCATTTTTAAATACAGCAAAGAGCTTGGTTACTTGTCCACCTATAGCTGGTTCTCTTTCACTGGTAATGGGAATCTGTAAGCAGGCTTTTCAGAGCGTACTTTTAGCTAAATGTGGGATAGGACAGAGTGAGGAGGGCAGAGTACTGGATGCTGTGTGTTTGTCCTTGTCCCTGAGCAGTTACTGTGTGATTTCTTATTCTACTTTGAATTTTTTAAAAAATTTAGTCTCTTGAAAGGGAGAGATAAAGATGGTTTCCCTGTATATCAAGAGAAGCTAATTCGAGAAAGTATCCGAAAATTTCCTTACTGTGAAGCTACATTGCTCCAGCAGCTCGTGAGGAGTATTGCTCCTGTTGAACTGGTAAGTTTTTTCTATCAAGATAATATTTTCTAACAATTTGCATAGTAAATTCAGCTTAAAATAAGCTTTCTTACTTTCTCTCAGGTTCTTCAGTGTCTTATATTAAGCAAAGGCTTTGGATGTCCCCGAACTTTCTGATAAGCTGGAATTTTATTTTACGTGTTGCAGGAAAATTCTCTAATACCGAATGCTTAAATGCCTGAGCTGAGTCATTTCCTAATTTAATACATTGATTATTTATAGTGTATATGAAGAAAGTGGTAATACATGGTAGTAGAGGAACGTTCTGTGAAGCTCCCTTTATCAGAGGGAGAGACAAGAGAATGCCATCTTCTGTACAGTGTGTATCTGAATTAGGAGATCCTAATTACAAGTAAAATAGCTAACTTCAGCTTTTCATCTTTGCCAACTCACTCTTCAATAGCTTTCATTAGTTTATAATAAATCTTACGCAAGAAGTTTTGTTCCATTTTTTTTTTTAACATATGTTCTCTCTGGTCTCTGAGAGCAAGATATTGTATGTCCTAACACTTGGAAAAACGCAGAGTTTTGTCTCATACTTGGATTATGCTGAGTGAGTTAAAAATAGCCTCCATCTTAAGTGGCTCCAGTGAATGAAAATGTCCTGAGGCTTAATGCAATCCCTCCTGTTTGTCTAAGCCAGAAAAATAAACACAGTGTGAAAACAGACTTTCATGATGCATTAAGAGTTGCTTTAGAGTAAACGCTTTCCTTCCTGTTTCTTCTTAGAAGAGCTTGCAGTCTTTTCTGCTTTCTTCCTTTAGTTAAACTGTATTTCTGTCCATTATGCTAGAAAGGAGATGCAATAAAGATTGAATTTCCTGGAACCCTTGACCTTCAGCACATACAATTACTTGGATTCAGTCTGGGCATCTCAGAGTTGCTGCAGTCATTATAGCCCTGCATGTTTCTGCTGGTCTAACTGTTTAAGGATTTATTTAGAGACAAGGCAACCTGACATTTTCTTCCTTTGTTGTTTACATCAAAATAATCCGTAGTTTATGTTTACCAGTAAAATATAGTAAATCTTATTGCTCCTGTTGTATGGGAAGGATACTGTAAATAATATCTAAATAATAATAGGCAAATAATTGTCTTGAAAATTCCAAGTTCTGACCATTTGGTCTGTATTCTGAGTACTCTGAGTACAACAGTGTATCAGTGCTAAATAAAAAACCTTTTTTTTTTTTTAACTGTGTGCCAACACAGAGACTAATTTGCAAAAACCTGCTGCGTAGGATCTACAAGTTGGTGACTTTGAAAAGACCACTGAGTTCTTGAATGGGATTGAATATTCATTATAGCATTAATTATAGCATTAAGAACAGGTCGTTAATTCACTCAACAGACACATTACAGTGACATTCAAATACAACAACAAAAGGCTGTGGGATATTCCCATAGCAGAATGGCACAAAGAACAGAAGCACAACAGTGAGAGTTAAAAGTGAGAGGTGAAATAAATGTGCATGTTTCAGGTGTTATTTCAGATGAAAATGAGGGAAGTAAAGTTATCAGTAATGTTTGCTAACCTCAGAAGGTACAAAGCTTCTGAGCTTTATTTCCATGTTTTAATGTGACTAAATGCTTAATTTGGAGATCCAGGCTTATAACTTACGCAATTATCTTCAGGACTTGACAGAGCATTAAAAGTAGAGACTGTTCTCTTCACTGAATGGAAATCTACTGCCTAAATGCAGTGACATGAGTGGGGAATATTTACACTTTAAATTATCTAGTTTGTCTGTCCAGGAAAATAACAGGTTTTGGATATACAGACTTAGACAGGCACTTTGCATCGTATTATATTTGTTGCATTTAAATTTCTGTCTGTTGTACCTGAAAGCAGCAGTTAGTGTATCATTTAGCTGTTACTTGGGACTATCCATTAAATGAATCACCGCTTACATCTTAGGTAGTGCTGCTGTTAGTCCTGCAATAATGACACATTCTTCCAAAATCATTTTCTTAAATGTCAGTATTCGTTCAGTTAATGAAGGGGTAAATTCTTTATAAAGGACTTTGCAGCTAATCCCACAATATGCAGTTATTAAAAATCGCCAGTATCTTCGCCTTCACATTTTAGTTTCATTGCTCTGTGCTCATGGTTTTGATTCAGAACAAAGCTACAGACTGTGGAGACATTCTGTGCAGCCACTGATTCTTCAAAATGTAAGCACGTGTTCACAAGCTGAGTGCTAGTTACCTTCAAATAAGACTCATTTTATAAATAAAAAAAATGAAATTTTTTTCTTCCTTTCTACAGGAGCTAAGCTCTAAGTTCACTTTGTATACAAAATGTATATAAATGTGTACTTGCAAAGCTGTGCACGTTACTTGAAGTTGTATGTTGTAGTTTCATATTGTGCTCTACAGCACCTTGAGTGAGAGCACAGCTGGCTACATGGAAGCTTGAATTGCTTTTTGTTGTTTCTCTCTTGTTGTTCCTCTTTGCGATAGTGCTGCTTTTTTACCTGAAACATACTGTACAATTGTGGTATTTCCTGTGTTTTACAAAATTATTCTCTTTACCCCTTCTTGTCTTTCAGGGTTCTGACCCTACAGCTTTTTCTGTACTTACACAAGCTATCACTGGCCAAGTGGGTTTTGTGGATGCTGAATTCTGTACCACATGTGGGGAAAAGGGAGCAGACAAAAGATGTTCAGTGTGTAAGATGGTAAGGAGCCATAAATTGTTTAATGGATCACAAACATTATTGGCATTGAGATGATGAGGATTTTGAATGTTTGACTACTTACTGTGTAGATTTATGAGGAATTTCACACATGCCTACGCTGAAAATGTGCATGTCACCTACTTCTAGGAGAGATGGCTGCAGTTCACAAGTGGGAGTACTTGCATTTCCAAGTGTGTATGTTTAAGGATGAAGAAAGAATAAAATTTCTGTATGTTCAGAGTTAAGCAAAACAAACTGTTCTTCTATAGTTTTATATAGGTTGGAATCCCTGTATGACTTGACAAATGGCTTACAAATGTCATTAAGTAGTATACATAGAGATTTAACTTGCTGCACTAAAAATTTAGGAGTAGTGTACATTTTTCTAGTACATCATGACAAATTGATGGCTGTGGTAACTTTCAGGTGATGTACTGTGACCAGAACTGCCAGAAAATACACTGGTTTACCCACAAAAAAGTCTGCAAGACCTTGAAGGAAATTCATGAGAAACAAGAACTAGAAGCTGCCAAAGAGAAAAGGAAACAAGAAAAAAAGCAAAAGAAAGGTTAGAATTTTTAGTTTCCTTGCTGTCACTAACGTAGCACGAACTGTATCAAAAGGAACAACAGTAACAAGCCTTAAAATCTGTAACAGTTGAAATATTTTTGTTGCCACATAACAACATACTTGCATTCGCTGGAATTCTACTCTTTCATTTTGGAGGTGCTGAATTACACTGCACTGTTTCAAAATCCAAATTTTTAATCAAAGTAATGTGTAAGTTTCACGTTAATCAATTTTGTTGGAGATATTAGGACAAATTGGATAATGTGACAGCAGATTTTTCCTTCCAGCTGTGAAGGCTAATGGAAAGATTAATTCTCCCTTAATAGTTTCTTCTTCAGAATCACAGTATAAAGTTAACTGTGTTGTGTATTTTGAAGGATGGGTGTTAAGGAAGTCTGCGCTAAGGAGGTTGTTAGCTCCATAGCCAATTGGGACCATGGTAGGTTTTGGCAGGGCTGTGGCTGGTTATGATAGTGTTTACAGCTGGCTACCAGTCATAAGAGAAAATAAGAAACCAAAATTAATAATTTCTGAAGGTTTATTTGGCTTTTAACAAAGCCTCTTTCCTTCCAGAATTGCTACAACCCAACCCTACTTAGCAGAATCAGAGCAAAAAGTCATTTAACACTTTTTTTTTTTCTAAAAAAAGTTATTTGAGAAATGAAGTTGCAATTGCTGATTCTTTTCTGTATAGTCAGGTTAGAAAATGTGGGATGACTCATTTAAGCTAAAGTTCATTGTGGTCAACTGTTAATTAGCAAAGAATTTCTTCAGTATGTTATAAGTACTTCTTACGTAATCACATAAATAGCTTTTTTTTTTTTTCCTTACAGAACACCTGTATTCTACATTTAAGTAGCCTGCAGCCATTCTTTGAAAGGCTAACCATACTGTCAGTAAAGCATATTTGAATTGGAAGTTGAAATAGAGTCCTACTCTGCTCCTTTATGTATTAAAAGGAACTGTGGTGAAATTGTGGAGAAATTAATGAGAGCTTTGTGTAGGGTTAGTTTCAAAATAATCTTATGGAAGCTTAAGCAGAACTCTCACGTCTTCGGACTTTTTTGTTGAAGCTTGCTGAAGCCAATCACTTCTGTAACTGATGCAGTTTCTTAGCGTTTATTATTCTTCCAGAGGAAAAAATGGTTTACTTGCCAATGAGTTCCATGTTTACTGGTGATGAGTTTTCTCTTTTGTCTAGATGAAGCACAACCAGAAGAGGCTGGTTCTACAAGCGAAGAACAGTCAGCTCCCAGCCCAGATGCTACCAAAGAAGCAGATCCAAATCCATGGATCCAGACTGCCCAGACAGAAGAAACTGAACTTACCAAAGAGTCAGAAGCACAAGTCCCACGTCCTGACAGCCCGCTGCAAAGTGAGACTGGCTTAGCTGACATTGCTCTTCAAAAAATTCAGGATTCTGAGGAATAGGAAAGCTGGGAAGGGACTGAGTGTTCTGGTAAAATCCCTCTACCCCAGCAGTCATAAAGAAATTTTTATGCTGACCACCTATGAGTTCTTTACAGCATGGCTTTTGCAAGGCTTCCTGTAAATGACAGCATAGCTTCATTCATCTTGAGATGAAATACTGGCTAGTTTGTCTTCAGGTTCTGTTGTAGATTGTAAAAATAGATATTTATTATCTGATGAAAACTAGAGTGACATAGATCCAGCTATATGTATACCAGCTGTAAGCACAGTAAAATCTATGAGCATCTGATCAAACAGCCACTTAAGTTTGGGAGTATTCATGGTTTCAGAACCTGAAAATTATTTTAAATATAATTTTTAAGACTTTTTTTTTTTCCCAAGAGTACACAGAATTACAGCTAAAAGTATTGGGAAGCCAGAACCCCTTTATGAAGCTTTATTTAAAGGAATTCAGTAGCAGTTAAGCTTCTGAAGATACTCATCTGAATTCTCAAATTTTCATGAAATTACTGTAAATACTTTGACTATAAGTGCACAACAGTAGTGTGTGGTGGCAATTTTATTAAGTGATACAGCTGTTTTCTAAGTCTCAGACTGACTGTGAAATGTGTGTGTTTCAAGAGATTGATTTCATTATTTATTTGCTCAAATATATTCCGAGCTTATTAAAGTTTGATGAAGGGAACACCAGTAGGATTTTAACTATTGTGAATGTTACAAGTAATGGTTTCTAAATCTCTGCTTTCTGGTAAAGACGCCTTAGCGCACACTGGGATGTATATGAATGATTTCATAAACATATGAGATGTTTAATATTTTACATGCTGAACCTGATCACAATTAAATGGGACCATTTATAAACTACAATTGGTAAATTGTATCAATGCCATTTATGCTATTGATGTTTCACATTGGCTTTCGACTAAATACTATACTGTAAAAACCAGCATCCCTTAAATGTTATGTTTTCACTCAGTTTTACGTTTTCTCATGAAAGAAGGGAATGTCATGACCTGAAATCCTACTTGCTGCATAAAGATGGTAGAATTTTATATTCTCCAGTTGTTGGATGAACAATATGTTTGGAATACAGCAATATCCTTCAACATAGAGGAATAAATAAGCCACCTTCCACATAGAGGAAAAATGCTATTAATTTTTTACTATTTAATATATTGAACATTTTTGTTTATTATTCTTGAAATTTTAAGAGGATGTATAAATGCAGGGAATGTACCTTTGGTATGATCAAGAGTGTTTTCATTTCAAGGATTAGAAGAATAAAACGTGAATAATAAAGGGAAAGTTTTCAAAGACGAGAGCAGAGTGGCAATTCTGTTTACTGCATCTTTAATGCCTACCAGGACATATGGTGATGTTCCCACTTGAGATCTACGGGCTTCCTGTAGCTCAAGTGTTCAAGTAGAAGGCAGAAAGCAAGAGAGGTGTCTGGAACATAGATATGGAATCATGATACTTGGAGCTGGGAATCAGAAATGCTGCTGGTTCCTAATTCTCTGCATAGCAAGGTCTGACTGGGATATATTTCTCTTCAGTGCTTTTCTGATAGTGCCATTTTTGGGGGACAAACAATTCAGGTTCCCAGAAGTGTCATAAAATCCACCACACAAATTCTGATTTCATTCCACTAGCCAACACCTTTTCTTGGTGAGAAAAGCCTAAGCAACAAGGTAAAGTTTGAAAATTGGAAGTAGTTGTGAAGCACAGGCTACCACCCAGTGGAGACTGTGCTTACATTTGTCCTCATTCTATCTTCAAAAGGCTTCAGAACCATGAACACAGGATGCCATGCTTCTTTTTGCAGTGAATCTCAGAAGAGAGCAAGTGCAATCTAAATGAGGGTCTCAGTGCTTCGCTTCAGCTTTCCTCAGCTGAGATTGTTACATCGTAGACTACCTCTGCGAGAACAGTCAGCTGTAAAAGCACAAAAAAGTTAGGTAAACTAGGGATTGCATACACTTAGTGAATCCTAATGGGTCTTAATTTAGACAGGACTGCGTTAAGAAAAAATGTTAGCCAGAGTTTCGTTTAATCTGGCTTGTCTTGAAACCTACCAAGGTGTTGATCTCCCTCTTAAAACCATGCTGATGAGAATGACTTCAGGGGATTTACAAGATGCGTAAATATAAGCAAGAAAACTAGGAAAGCAGAAATAAAAAAAAAAAAAAGGGAGGAATCTAACTTTGAAAAGGTGAAAGGAATTACAAGGTTTAGCAGAGATGAAGTCACATATCTGGGATGGAACAATCTTAAGCAGCAGTACAGGCTGGGATCTGTCTGGGTCTGATGAAACAGACCCAGGAGTCTTGGTGGGCAGCAAGTTGACCCTGAGCCAGAGGAATGCCCTGGCAGCACTGATGGTAAAGACAGGAATATAATCAGCAGATCAAAGATGTAATTATCTCATTTGGCTTGGCACTTGTTCGGCCATGCCTGGAATACAGCATCCAGCTTTGGTCAACCTGACTCAAAAAAAAAAAAAAAAATCAAAAGAGGTTCCAGCTGAGGTGCCACCATGATGATCAGAGAGTTGGAGGAAGTGAGCTCATTAGCTCACAGAAAAGCTCAGATCTAATCACAAAACTTACAGTACCTAGAGGTTGCTATAGAGCAGATGAGCTATCTTCACAGAGATGCATAGTGACAGGACAAGAGCCAACAGGCCCCAGTTGTTGCAGGCAAAATTCCACCTGGATATAAGAAAATTGCTCTGGAGTGCAATTAAACAGTGAAGGAGGTTGCCAAGAAGTGGTGGTCTCTCCCTCACTGGAAATATTTGACTTGCCTTGACAGGGTGCTGGATAACCTTATCTTAGGCTTTCAACAGCAGTTGGGCTAGATAAACTCCAGGAATCCCTGCCAGCCTAGACCATTTCATGACTCAGTGCTAACAGGAGAAAAAAGAAAGAACTCAGAAGACAAGCCCCAGGCTGCTGAAGGACTTTGATATAACAAATAGCACTGACTGAAACTAAGCCTTTGGCAGAATAGAAAGTTGTGAAGAAATGTATTACTTTCCATTTACGTACAGATCTGCTACCTCCTTTAGCGGTAACTGGCTTTGGAAGCCAAAAGCGTCAGGTGCAGTGCCACAGTGCTGTCAGCAGTCCTGGCACAGTGCATTCTGTATGGCACATCTTGTCTCCCCATAAAGCACCAGTAAGCAGAGACACGTCATGGACAGTGTAGGCAGCCTCAGACAGGAACCACACTGCAGCACCCTTACTTGCCTGTGCTTCTGTGGGTAGTGAGACACAGTGCAGTAATGTCATAAAACTAAGAGATTCCAGCACATTACTGTAGCACACAAATTACCAAATTGGAACTGCTCTTAGAAATAAGAATGCTATTTATCTCATATCTTTATTTTGAAGGAGGAAGATATATTATTGGTAGTGAACATCATAAGTCTAATTATGCAGTAGAAACTATAAAGAATGAAATAATGTATCCTATAAGGTACTTGTTAAGAAATTAAGATTTGAGATTAAAAAAAAGTACGATAGAAATTGCATTTCAAACATTTTTTTGTTATAACATCACCACTGTTTAGCATTTGATTTCTTAATTTGTTGACCCTAGATATTATATATTTGATGATAAAAGGAATGTTACACTAATACCACTTTTTTTTTTTTTTTCCTGGAAGATCATTTAATTAGATGCATGTTTTAGTGTAGTTACATTATAGAGATGGTAACTTACGTAAGATGCTTCCATCTACTTTAGACAGGGGAGCAGTGTTTTTCTTAAAGAAGAAAGAAGTCATCTAAATTGGATTGTCAGCTTCTCAGGGGATTCCTCTGCTTTGTGTTTAAGCCCTCTGTCTCGACAGGTGGGTACTTTGTTCCAGTCAATAGAGGAAAATTCCATTATAGATCTTCTCATTGCCCGTAGTAAAACAGCATCTTCTGGGTTCTCAAATGGAACTCTGCAAAAAGAACAAAACAAATGAACATTATCAGAATGCTCTCAAACTACTTTGGAGTTATTTCACTAAGTGTGCTTTCTATAGTTAATGAAGTTAGAAGTCAGGAGTGAGGACTGTAAATTGTAAATTTTTAGAAGGCTTCCTTCTGTTACCAAATTTTAGAAAGCAAAACAAAACCTGAAAAGGTCAGCATTCCAAGATTCTAAGGAAAAAACATGCAGTAAATTATTTAAAATGTATTTAAAGCACTGTTGTCCACTTTAATGTTCTGATTCTTACAAGTATCCGGTGGAAATCATAAAACTGTGCACTGCATGATTTCATATTGATTTGATGCCCATTAACGCAAATGCAAAATTTATTTCAGTGCGAGTCTTTTAAATAGTGAGCATGCAAGAATCCAGGACACTGAATCCAGAAATCTCAGTTGATGTTGTTCATGTGTCCTGATACTTGTGAGAGAGAAGTGGCAGACTTGCAATATCAGTTCCAAATCAACAACCAAAACTTTAAGCTCAGATACAATATTAAAACCCTAATTTGTAAGAACTTATTCCATAGAGGTGTAGCTCTATGCGACACACGGTGCTCGGAAACTAACATAAACCACGTGGCTGTCTCCTTGCCTCCTCTGAGTATAACACAGACTGTCAAACACTTGGGTACCTCACCAACTCTAAGTACCTACACAATTCAGATGGAGTGGAAGCTGCACATCCATTGCATCAATGAATGAACTCCACTGAAAACAGGAAAATCGTTTATAAACACAAATAAAGCTGACTGTAAAGAGCTGTACTGAAAATGAATAACTATGTAAAAATCAAATTTTTAAGGGAAATCATCATATACAGGCTGTTATTATTTCCTTTAATAAATCTGGCAACTATTTTCATATGCGAAACTCAAAAGTCTGATATCTAAAGATTTTAAATATCTTATAAAGATAGCATCTAAAAGTGTCAACACTTTAAAATCCATTAAAAACCACCTCAATCCAGGCAGATGTCACAGAAATAAGCTTTTCCATTTATTTCTGATGTCGAAATTTTAACAGAATAAAGTTAACTACAGACTTAAAACATTTTGTTCTATAGCTCTGTAATGTTTTCCAGAGAGTATGTTCTTCTGAGCAACCAGAAAGCAGAATGCTGTCTGTGCCACAATACAGAACAGCTATTCTGATGCACTAATCTTCAAGCACACTTTTTCTAGTTATTGCTATTTGATCTTATAAAATAAACAGCACTTTTATAAAATAAATAGCATTTTTATACACCTGGAATACCTTTTCATATCAGAATTAATACAGCAGTGGCTTGGCTATCTTATCAGAATGATACAGCTTCAACTTTTTAACTGTGTGAAACACAGAACACCAGAAAATTTGTCAAGAAATTATTTTCACTGTTTTTTTTTTTTTTTCTGAAAAAAGCACACACACACACACACAAAACAAAACCACAACAAAACCAACAACAGAAAGCTCAGAGAAACACTTACTTATTTGTGTGATTTCCAAATTCCCGACCTGTAATAAAAAGTTCAAATTTAGACATCAATGCGCATGCAGCACTTTGATGAACTGAGGATTATCATCCTGAACACAAATTCCTTGTTCAAATGAGTCAAAAAATCAGCAGATTTGATACATGTAAAATCTTTTAAAATTCAGTTACTCATGTTTAATTTTCCCTAGACAAACTTTTCCATGCATTGGTTTGTAGGTTTTTCATAGAAGTACATCCAAAAAGCAGACAACATTGTGGTTTGCTCTGGACTGCCTCATGACAGAGCAGTCACAAGGTTATGGGTACTCACTGTGCTGTCTCACAGCAGTAAATGTTTTAAGGACTCTTTAGAAAATGACTTTATATGCTATTATCAGACATTATGAAAATATTCTCAGCTTGGAAAGCATAAAAAGGAATCTGCTTACAAAACTAGGCAAGATGTGCAAAATCTACAACAGTAGGAGAAAATATTTTCTTCAAGAGATCATTTTATAAAAGCACTAGAGGGCATCAAAACTCAAGGATGCTGATCACTAAAACAGCATTACAGTGTACTGAGATGCTCTTCAATAAAATTTAAAAAATAACAATATGATATATGTTGAAAAAATAAAATGCTGTTTGTTCAGCTGTTAAAATACTTGTTTAACTACAGGGTGTAGCAGGAACTACAGTTGGACTAGATGATTGTGGTGGTCTTTTCCAACCTTTACAATTTTGTGACTGTATGAACATATTTGTCATGATGCACACAGCTGAGGATTCATTCATCTGCTGTTCTGACCGCTGCTCCTGGCTCTGCGGAGCAGTTTGGTTGAGTTCCCAATGCATTGATATTTTACTAACTAGGACACCAAGTTTTTATTGGATGAATGAAAAGAACTTCAACTGAAAGCACCCCCAAATGGTTGCTTTTGCTCTTATGGTTATGGATACCTGGGGGCACCACCAGTCTCCTGGCTGGCCGAGGGCCCTTGCTGTGCCTGATGGCAGTGCCTGGCACTGAGTCCACTCTCTTCCCGAAAGCAATCGACTCCACAGCGCTGGACCTTTCACAGTTACAGACAGGAAATGCCAACTCCCTTTCTCTTCGTGTAACTGCTGTTAAAAGAGATATAAAAAAACTATTTCCTCTATCAACTAAAAAGGCTGGTACTAACTGCATGCAAACTTCATTTTGTGCAGGTTTATAACAACAGTGATGTAAATCTGCATAATTTCACAGAGATTCAGAAGAAGATCACGGAGTGATGCTTGCTACAGCTCTGGGGCACAGCCCCCTCTAACAAAATAAAAGTATTTATTTTGGATGCAGTAGGATCAGGAATTTTAAATGAAGAAACTACCAGACAAGGCTCTTCATTACTACAGATGACATCTACTGCAGAAGTCAGTGAAAACTTGGAACTTTCTTTACGAACAGTGCGAACAAATCCCACTTCAGGGTCAGTTTAATTCCCATTGCTCAATTATGGAGGAAACTGAAGGAGTGCAGTAAAAAGAAAAGCTTCACACTTTCTTGTTTTGTGCTTGATTTCAAAAATAACTTCACATTTTTAAGAAAGAGTTTGAGACTGTAAGTTAAATGAGGGATTTTAACTAATGATATGACCTGCATACTAATCTAAAACTTCAGATAGGAAAAAGGAAGAGAGCTGTAGGTTTAGAACCTAACTCTGGCAGGAACATTTCGAATTCGGGGAGTTTCTAAGTTGTGGTATCTGGGGGACTCATTAGAAAGGAGCTGCAGCATCCATGTCTGGAGGTAACAAAGTGTGAGCACGTGTCCTGCATAAAGACACCAGCCAGGCCGAAGCTGTCGGAATGTTCCACAGATGGAACGTTTTCCATTCAAGATTGAAAGAGGAAATATTTAATTTCACATTACAGTCTTTGTAACATTAAATAAACAGTTCACTAAATAGAACACCCAGGGTACAGCTTGATAGAAATTAATGCTGCAAGTCCTGCTCCAGAGCTGAATACAGTGTACCTGTACTGAAGACAGGAGTCCATGAAGTTTTGTGGAATTGTTTTTAGAACTGTAAAGGCAGCGTGTGTTTCCCAGTAGATTTAGCTTCAGACAGCCAAAAGTGACTGTTAATAAAACAGTCTGAAGAAAGTGCCCCAGACCAAGTACTGACGAGGCTGGAGGTACACAGGAAAGGTGTTTCACTTTCCAGTATAGGAAATGAACGTACAGCCATTGGCAGATGGCTACGTGGTCAATCCAGAAGCTCAATAACCCCTAACACAGACCATGCCCATCTGCCAGCTCTGCTTCATGGCAGGGCTGCGTAACCTGCAGCCAAACAGTCATCCTGAGGCTGCCTTCTCAATTCCTGCACTGTTTCTCCCACAGGCTCAGAGCAGGTTTCCAAGATGACAGTTTCTCCTCACTGTTTTCCCATGAGGAGAAAGTCAGGTACAAATCAGTACTTTTCTCAGCCCTTCACAGTAACGTTCAATCCTTTTGTGTATCACAGCTCACCAAACATCAAAGACACAACCACCAAAGCTGATTTTCTGGCTCCACTGTGGCTTGTTTATTAAATTGGTTTGTCTTCAATATATTTACTGATACATATCTATATATTTGTTCTCAATATAATTCTTTTCTTTTTAAAACAACAAGTGAAAGATCTGATGATTCATGAAGATTTCCATCTGACAACTTGGTCAGCATGGATGTGCATACATTCTAGAAACGCACAGAAACACACAGTTATCTGAGAACATCACACCAAATGGAGGCACGTGTTTCTAAATGCAGGCTTATATCTCTTACCCAACAATATATAGACCAACTACAAGATAACCATACACAATTTAAATAGAAAAAGATGGAAATTAACAGCGCTGGGTGAACCAAAGGGTTTTATGCCAAACAAAACTTTCAAAAATGGTTACAGCAAAAGATCTAACAAACTGATATTAACAAATGTACGTAAGAAACGGACAAGAATAATTCACACATATTTCCAAACTTATTAAAAATCAAAAGCAACAGTCAACGCTTTGTGAAGAGAGAAAAATCAATCCTTACGCTTCCTGTCCAGGAGCTGCACTGAAGGGAGGCTGTGTATCACATAGAGACGGTAGCCTGCATCATATGCCAGAGGGTTGTAAAACAGGTCTGCAAAATATATACAACACAATGCCATCGCCAAAACTACAAAGGAAAGTAACAAACTCAGCAAGACAGGAAAATTAAAGAGCACTAGTAGACAAAGATTTTGTAGAAAATATTTTTAACTTCAAATTATTTTTACAGCAGGTAAACAAAGCTTGGTTCCCTTATACTCACAAAATCACTCAATTGAAGACAGACTGCAAGGAACTGGCTTATTGCAGAGCGTGCAAAATACCACAGGCAAGATTTGAGGAAAGGCATCATTGTGCATTTGAAGCCTTTGAAGTTTTTTTGTATTTTTTAAGATATACAGACAAAACCGCTAAATACTCGCCTTTGATTGCCTTGAGTATTTTTGGTGATGCCTACTTTAAATTGTAGCAGGTTTTCTGTTTTTTGTCTGATGGTTTAATGATAAGACACAAAATTTGCAGCAGGAGAGAGTTAATTAAAAAAAGATGAGCTTTAGGACTCCTAAGGGTTTATCAGAGCCAATATAAAGGTTTTATCCCATAAATGCAATATAAAATAAAAATGCTGCATTTTCTGATTTCTCCATGGATTATGAGTTTGAAAAGTGAAAAACTTGAAGATTAAAATGTGTAAAAGGACCTATGCTTCTGGAAATGAAGTGCCACACACTTTTATTAAGTTATAAGACCCTAAGTTCTAAAAGCCCATTAGCAACTTGACTGAAATACTTATTATGCTCAGGTTCACATTCCCTGAATAACCAAACCTTTGCAACGCAGACAAGCATCAGTCCTCTGTTACTGCTTTGGCAAATGTGGAACATCCACCCAACTCACACTCCAGACTTGGTTTGGTTCATGCAAATGACATCTAAAGTTGATTAAAGTAGAAACTGGCTCAGATAAAAAAAAATAGAATAAAAAAAAGTTTGTTTTCTAAATTAAAAACAAAAAAAAGCTATTTTTCTCCTTAAAGAAATACTATTGTTCTTCTTCAACAGTATAGAAAAAAAAAAAAAAAAAAGATCAGGATACCTTAAGATCACAGCAGGCAAAAAAATAAAGTTAACAGTTTTGACAATTTCTACGAAGATCTACACTGATCTGTTTAGAAAGAGGCTGTGGCCAATATTCCCTGTAAGTCAAAAAATCCCTTGGTTTACCTAATCTTAACAGGTAAGGAGGGCAAGGTGAACGGCAAATGAGAGCTCTTGTATTTCAGAGATACTAAAAGACAAAAAAGATTGAGAAATATTCTACAGTGGCTTGTGAACCACAGGATTTCATATTTTGTTCACCAGGCTACATTTGAATTTCACAGAGTGCTCAGAGTTCAGTGCTACTACCTGACTGTTTGGAGGCTCAGTAAGGCTGGAGTGGGCAACTGGAACCTTGTATGTGGAAAATGCCTGCTCAGGTATTCAGAGAACAGAAAATGTTTTAACGTTGCAATGAATTTTCAACAAAACCACCATATTCAGGAGTAGTAAGCAGCCCACAAGGTGGCAGCAAACGAAAGTTCTGTGTTTTTACTGCACCCAAGACTATATAGCCATTTTTGCTAGGAAGCGTTAATCAGAAATAAGATGATGTGTTTGTCTGATGAGAATGTTTTCGAGTCAAGAAAAAAACACTGTAGCATTCCACAGAGAAAAACTTCTTAGAAACTTCTCTAAAAGCAGGTAGGTTTGTTGTTTGAGCAGTACTAGAATGATGACTCAAAGAGAGATTTTTCCAAGACAAAGGGAGGAGCTGATACTAAGTTCTTCTGAATCTAGATGCTGCTTGGAGCATGTTCCTCATTACCAGCACTGATTTTTAACAGTATACAAATTTTTCTGCTGCTTGATCTTAAAGTAAATCCAGCCACTATATAGATCAAGATGGTCTTATTTAACAAAACATCTGGAATCACTTTTTGGCTCTGCTTTCTAGTCAAGATAACATAATTTTCCTTCTACAAATTAGGGATAATGCTTTCTTCCTCCACAGGTTTGCTTCTTTTCCCAGTTCAGAATGTAGGAAAAGAGCGTGCCTACCCTACGTGAGGTAGAAAGGAACTATTGTGACAGAAGCATAGTGAAAGACAAAATAACTTTTTTGAGCAGGAAGATGTTATCAGATGTGGACAATAAATCAGTTGAGGTAATGTGCAGAGTACACAGAAATCTTAGATTCCAAGAGATGTAGAACAAGGTGAGTCTATAAAGAAACCCTATGTATCTCCCAAAAGTCTGCAGTTGTGAGCAACCCATCCAGTAAATCTTTAGAAACTGACTGTTTTCAGTAAATGCATGATGAAAAATGGCATTATGCTTCAAATCCTTAGCAGTGCAGTGGCCAAAAATCACAGGAGAGCTTTAAGAAAAAAGAAATGCAACATTCTGGTAGCTGAATATTGCTCCCAAAGTGAACGATAATAGTGTACCAGACTGCCTCATTGTAACAGCTCACAGGAGCTACACAATAATAAAACATTATTATATATATCTCCAGAAATTCTATTGATGCTTTGCAAGATATTTTGAAAATCAAATTTTCCAGTGATAAAACAAATAAATTAAAAAAAACAAAAACTGCCTCACAACAGTGAGAAGCTTCCCATTTCCAAAACACTTTTTATTTTATAAAGATGGATCACGGGCACAGGCCTTTTTGAAGTTACACAGCTGAAATGCTGCTCTCACTTCCCAGTCCTGAATACTGCAAGCAGATGCTATCGTAATACAATTTGATATAAATCACTTTTAAAACACATTTTGTTCATTTCTTGCTGACCTTTATTTCAAATATGATGAGGCATTTTATTAAACTAATAGACTCCTGGTAATTTGGGAACTCATTTCTACTAAATTTCTTTAAAATAAAGGCATTGAAGTTTGGGTTTTTTTTTTAATGATTGTAAAGGTTAGAAGGGAATGAATACCGTAGAGTAGAATATCACATTTCTTCTACCGATTTACTGTCATATCTTTGAACTGAAGAGCCTTTTTTAAAAAAGTTACTCTAAATAATTGCTTTTCTATAATGGTGGCCAGTCCAATATTCATTCAGTTTTCACAGAGTCTTTGTGAACGTCACTCATAATGACTCAGCAGCACTGTAACTATCTGCTATTCCTCTCTATTTCCCACAGTTAACTGCAATGAGCACAGATTCCCTGTGCTTTCTGAAGCTCCATATTAATTGGTAGAGCTATAACATTCAATTCAAGTGACAGCACCATTCATACATACAATGTCTGAATCTGTCCAGACTTTGCCTAATCACTTCAAACAACTGCATTCTTATGTGAGCTCTTTTTCATTCTTGCACATAATGAAAAAAGAAAAAGAATAATTTTGCCAGCACGTTGTCTTCCTAAAGACTTGGTTTGTTCGTGAATTTCAGACCAACATCAATTTCAATTAAAACTGTACTCTGCAAGCCATTTTTTCCTTTCCTGTGATCCAGGCAGTCAATTTTTGAATGTGTAAGGAGGTATGGTTTGATGATATTCACCTTCAGTGATTGCGACAGCAGGACAAGAAACTTGTTTCCTGTGTTCTCAAAGTACTGAGAGATTGGCATGATCTATGACAATATTCTGTCAGGAACCAATGCACAAAGACTGCCCATACTTTCAATAGCTTAATAGCATTGAACTCTACTTTCCTGTAGGCTGCTAGCTTAGTGGTGCCAGCACCATCTTGTATAATGTAATTTAAAACTTCATTTCCATCTAGTATATCAAAATCATGCCACTTAGATACTATTATATCAGAGTATGTTTATTCTCAGACTCTAAAAGCCTGTATTTTCTGCATCATTCCGAGCAGATTCTAAGTTCTACAAAGAATATGATTAACAAGACAGGAATTTCTGTTCCATAACCTATCACCTTCCTTGCACTCTCAAGAACAGTGACACCAGTTTCTCATCTCCCGTCACCTCTATGATAATATCTGCACTCTCCCATTTTCCCCATACAAACAGGGAGCAGCACACGGCTTTGACTGCCTCCAAGCTACTTAAGCCAAAGGCTGGTTAGCTAGCAGCCAAAAGCTTAGTAGCAGTAGTCTCTATGAAATTTTCGTGTGTTACAGGTCGCTTCTGTCAAATTTGGTTGAAATTGATAATTAGCTTCAGAAGCTATTGGCAAGTGATGCACAAGCAGACAAGAAATATATCCTGGTAAGATATTCTTAAAAGCTACTGCTCACTGTTCTGCAAAACAAAAATAAGGTATTACTTAGGGTCCGCAAGCTTATCATTCCTTTTAATTCCTTCACTGTTTCACCAAGTTGTTTTAACTGGTTGTTGTGAAGCAACAGAATCTGTAATGAATGCAAGTTTTTCAGAGCACCTGAAATGAAAAATAATTATTCTCATTATATGTCGTTACATTTATCTAGATAATTATTTTGTTACATTGCACGCTGAATTTTACATTCTTGTTATAGAGCCAGGTCTACATTTTTATAGGACCCTGCATGAGAACAGTAAAAAAATTCTATCAGAGATTTTAATATCTCTGTTGCATTCCTGGTCGTACTGCTTTCATTTTGCCCCTAGTTCTTTGCATTTCTCTTGATCATTCTTGTCCCAAAACATCTGTACCAGCTTCCTTCTTCATCCCTTCCTTCCTCATTGTACAATTAACAAAAGTACAGTTAGAAGAGTGGCATGGTTAGGAGGGTATTTCACAAGGTTTATAGTTAGAAAGATTATTGTGGTGGAAAAAAAAAAGTGATCAAAAATGAAATGTTCACCTGTGTCCTAGGCTCACAGTAGAAAACTCCAAAAGGAACAACCTCCAGAAAGAGAATCTTTTCCCAGTGGCAGTCAGCCCTTAAACGGGGCCCAGGAGAGGTACAGCCAGGCTCCACCCCTTCCGGTCACACAGCTGAATTGCCTTCACCTGTGGCTGGCTCCGTGCTCCCCTCAGGTGATCAATCAGTGGCTCAGACCACGACTCAACAGTTCCCATGGAATCCTATATCCCAGTAATCTTTAATTCCACTTCCTTTTATCCTGACCTAACATTGCCTTTGCCTCTCAAGCAATTCATAGATTATACCTATAGAAAGTAGTTCCATTTCAAGCTATTATTAATGTATGAAGAAGTTATTCCAAGCACAGCTGTGGCTGACCCAGACTACATGTTCACACTGTCATACCACAGTTGGTTTCAATAGCTTGTTTTCCAATTTCTACACAGGTTTTCTCATCCACATTTCTCTGCTAATGACCCCCACACTTTGTTAAATCCCTATGTTGGTATCTACTGTAATGTCTCTTCTGCCTAAATATTTTTCTTTCAAACATTCATTTTTCCACAAGATCTCACAGAAACTAATCAACACAATTTCTCATTTTAATATTTTATAGGAACTAATAAAAGTCAAATATTAATATTTCAAAAATCTAAAATCCACAAATGTGTTGATATGCTTTGGCCTCTTCATTCAGAAATTCAGTGGTGGTCTGGCACAGCTACTTAAATCTACAAGAACATGCGAAATATATACAGATTTATAAGTAACAAATGGAACTTTGCGATAAAAATGTTTTTCTGCAAAACACTTCTGATTATAAGTGTTATTACACAATGATGAAACTACAGGAAATGAGACAACTTATTAATTAATTCTCTTTCATTTTCATGCTAAGTCTATCAGCACTACAGTTTTTCATCATCTAAATACGAATGGCTCCCAGGAGATTCTTCTATCTGCTTCTTCAATGCCTGGTCAACAACAGAACTGCAAATCATCCAATAGAAAAACAACTTCAAATATTCATTTAGAATATAAGATATGGTCATGCTGGGTCCAAAATATTTTACAATTGCCTGATATTAAAGTGTATGATATTTCACTGCCCTCAAACCAGCACTTGATGTGAACTTGTAGTCTATTGCCACTCAAGTATACTGGAACAAATCAAATCCCTAAGAAAATAATTAACATTTATGCATATATGTGAGCTTTCAACCATTAACTTACTGGCTGTCATTCACTGTTATAAATTTGAATGCCAATACACAAAAAAGAAAGTACAGCTCAGCAATCTGAAAAGGGAAGATTGATACCTGATATATCTGTGAGTTCATTGTTGTTGAGGTAGAGCTCAGTCAAACAGTAGTTTTTTTTTAAGAAACTTAAATCTTGAATCTGAAATTAGAGTTAGAAAAACTATTATGTAACAGTCTAAATTTAACGTTAGAGAACATAGCCTTTTAAAAACCGTCTTACTATAGGAAGTCTTTAATCTTGCAGTCTTAATATGAATGCAAGGTTAATATCTGGAAGGGGGTGCCTATCTGGCCCTTGAAACAGCTGAGAGCATTAATGTTGCACAGCTGCTTATCCTTACAGTTTAAACACAAAGACAACAAATAGAATTTGATTCCCAACACTATTTTGATTTCTGTAATGTAATTTGCTGGTGCAGGAATGATTTTAGATCTTGAATTATACCACTGACTTTAAGACAAACGTGTTTTGCTCTATGTATCTTCTGTAAGTTGAAAGGAAGAGACAAAGTAAGTTTTCCTGTTGGAAATTAAAAGTTACTTTAAGGTTCAGAAAAACATGGTTGAGTGAAAATAGCAATCTGAAAACAGTCACATTCTTTGCAGCAGTTACTGTACTTTTTGTAGTGTGGGTACACACACACCTGTAATACAGCATGGCATTTCTCCATCTTTGTCATATTCACAGTCAACAGGCCATTTCTCCTTACTCTTTAGTGCCTTTTAGAAGTAAAATGGAAAGCTTATACTGTGATTTTAGTTCAACCTCTTTGCATATCCATGGTTTTGCTTTTCTTTGAGAACAGTTGGATAACCACAGGTCTTTCAACAAAGCTGACATAAGATGCTATATAATTGATGTTAGCCTGGGGCAGCAGATACGCATACACTCCTCAATTACATGGAATGTAAATTTATTTTTTTCTCTCCTCACAGAGCTACTTATTGACCTGAGCAAGCACTTCTGGTGTTTTAAGAATTCATGTCCTTTGTGAAAGTCATGTAAATTACTGTATAGTAAGGAATTTAAAAGCAGGTTAGAAAATAGTACCTTTTATAAATTTCCCCTTTTTAGTCAGGTTTGGATTCAGTCAGACACTTGGTAATTGTTGGCTAAATATCTGCAGATTTCTAAATCACACAATCCTCCCACTGCTAAGTAGCTGATTTTTTCTAAAATACAACATGCTGAGACTTGGTTGAAAACTGTAGTGTTCGGCTATTTTTACAGAGCATCATGTTAGAACTCATACAGGACATAGTAATTATGATCATCTAGACTTGCACAGGTGGAGCATGTGCAGCATACGGCTTGTGGAACTGTTTTAGGACCATACTGCAGAACTTAATGTGGACATTGCCATACTGAACACTCTCCTGGGAATGTCCCTTAATTCAAACATATGTAGGTGACACTACAGCTTTATTACATTACCTTATTGTTGTTAATCCACAAATACCTCAACCTATGAAACAGTGACAGACTTGGAATACTCCTTAGTCCTCTAGTGGAAAAAAACAAAGTGGTGCTTAATCACTTGGTAAGCAGTGTGATTTCTGGTAGCTAATATTATGTAAGCACTAAAAAGCAACAATTCTGTAGAAAACAAAAAAAGTACAAAAGGGAGAGATAACATATGCATGATAAAAGTGAAAGCATAACAAAGCAGCAAATGGTAAAGAAATGGGAACAAACAGTTATACATTAATTTCTTCTTCCATAAAAGCATATATTTTTTAGTGAATACAATATTTCATCTACTTTGCAGATGGTGGAAACTCTACTGAGAACACAGAAGGAGGATTTTTGCATTCTGGGGTACACAAACTTAAAGGAAAAATGTTGTGAAAGGACAATATGGATTCCTTGGCCATGGTGCTAAGAGAAGGTAGACAACAAGCACATTGCTGTCAATTCCTTATCTTTTTTATTAATGCATTTTGTGAAATCTTCTGCCCTTCTTCAACATTTTTCTCGTATAAACTTAGTATTCACATTCATTAGCAGTCTTGTTTTAAATGAATACCTTGACTGACGTTGGATCTCTCTCCCATGTGCTTGTAGGCATTTCAGTTTAATTGTGTACCTTGCACTTTGAAGCTGAGCTTGCTGGTGTGCTCTAAATAACAAATTACCTACTAACCAGAGAATATGGGTGAGCTGTTGAATAATTTTCACTAATTGTTGCTGTTTTTCACTGCTTTAAATAAATGTTCTTGATTTCCTCTCAAATAATTGTAGACGATCTTTACAATTTTAATTGATATAATAAAATTTTCATGTCAGTTTTGAACATTCTGCATGACCAGGGCCAGTGGTCCAGAAAGAATGAACCAGATTGGTAGGAATTAATCTCACACCATCAGCCTAATCCGCTCTGCTTGTGTTCCAGCTGTGAAGCCATGTCCCTCTTCCCAGGTGTTTTGTGTTTTTTCTCCAGGAACCCTTCCAGGAAGGAGTGGGCACCTTTTCTATCTTGCATTTGGAAAAAAAAAATTACCAGGAGCAAACACCAAAAAGTTGATGTGATGTATTTTAATTCATGCATTTTTCTGAGCACGAGCTTATCCCAAGCAGCTGCTCTGTATAACTGGCTATTTGGTCTCCTCAAATCACCTCTAAAAACTAAGTCTGCAAGAATATTTTGTATATATGTGTTTATTTTGTTGTCAGAAGCAAATACATTTCTGCAGGTAATAAAGATAAGTGCATGAGAGCTGACAGGAAATGCAGAGCTCTTCCAGAGTTATTTTTTCTTTTTTTTTTTTTTAGTAGACTTTTACCTGTATACTGCCAAATTATGTTTCACATAGCAAAGCCAAAATTTCCCAATATTTTGTCACTGCCATTCTACACAGGTTTACATTTTAATTGGCTTTACTCCATTGTAACAGCCAAGATGAGGCTGTCTATCTCCAAGTCCTAATCTGTTGTGTTTTTTTCTCTTTGCAGTATTAAGGCATTTAATTTGCCCCAGGTAGAGCTTAATTTCTCTAACATTTTAGAGGAGCGCGTCCCTTTCTGTATGCCTTCCAGCCTTTGCATGTCTCTTACAAACTGATACTTTCTGGCCTCCAGCCCTCTTATCCTACCTACTGCTAAGTTAATCAGTTTTCCTAGGATGACAGCTTTCAGTGACCAAATGTAAACTTTTTGACATGCCTTTAACAGTAGTGGTTTAAAAGTAAAATTTGATTCCTTCAAATTTGATTGACTTTAATTATTTTTTTTTTACTTTCTTCCTACTTTAGCCAGTAGAAAATTATGTCAAATTAACACTTGAGAAAGCATATTCTGATACTGAGATTGGCTGAGGTTCAAGGTAATTTGGGATAGAATAAAAGAAAATTCGTTCTCTTCAATCATCAAAGAAACAAGCTTGCATCATCTTTCTCAAAATGGTTTCATGGGAAGACAGATCACCTCTATATCTGTCTCCTGATTGTTTCTTTTTATTCTTTTATTCCTTCTTTATTCCATAGCAAGGAGTATTTCAAAGCCAGCGAGAATATACTTTTAAGTATTTAACATCAGAAAATACACTTATTAAGACTCTACACACCATCTCAGTATGTATATATCTTCCTTACTAAGATTTTCTATGCTTTCTTCTTTCTAAAATAAATGTTATAATAATTTAACAGTAACCAGATGTTTCATACTTTCTTTCCACTGTTGAGTTTTGAATTCCTTCCTGGTGTTAATCAGGAGATGTGCTAAGGGGATACACTGAGACTTTCAAGGCCACCTTCCACGAAAAGCAAACGAAATAATTCTCAAATTCCCTAACACCTGTTTTGTTGTTGTTGTTTGTTTGTTTTTTGCATTCATAGGATTTAGAGACCTTCAAGGCCTTATGGCTGAATTATTACACTATGTTAGCTCTTTACACGATATCAACAGCACGAACTAGACAGAGCTGTGAGGCTGCAGACAGGTATGCAACACTTGGAATTGTGCCCTGGCCAGAAATTCAAAGTATGCTTTTCAAAAACTTGGAAGTATGTCCTGTCATGAATCCATCTTTCTGGTAGCCTCTCAGCATGTTCATCCTACAGCTCTATCAACCCAGATCACCCACAGGTTCATGAAAACTTTGCCTTCCTTTCCTTCACATGGTTTCTTCTCATCTGCCCCATCTCTTCAGCTGCTTCACAAAGCTCCCAGAGATCAGTTCTCTGATCAGTGCTGCCTACCTCAAACAGCTCTTGTACTCACTTCATGTTGCCCTGCCCTCCCTTCAGTTCTTAACAGCCAAGATGCAAGTAATATCAAAGGTGCTACCATTTAGTTCTGCTATTGCAACAACAGATTTCTTCAGGGAGGTCAGAAAATTGGCAGTTCTCAGACTGGGCAGGTCCTGTGTTTCTTCATTTGCTGTTTTGATACTCTTTCCACCCAGACTTACAAGCCAGTTAGAACAGGTAGAGATCAGCCCATTAAGCTTCATGTCTCTGTTCCCTGTGGTAGAAGTTCATGCAAAACTCTGTGAACTTACAGACCCTCAAGCAATGCTGGGTTGCTAGAGAAGGACCGCGTGCCTAGGGCTGAGGCATTTAACTACTTCACAGCTCATGCAGCTCTGCTCCCTGTGTCCCTATGTTTATTTGCCATTTCTTTTTGCACAGCATGCACAGACTAGGTGTAAAGCTGGTATTTCACATATAAATGATGTTCAGGGACAGTTACAGAAAGCACTATGGTTACCATGTACTGTGTGTTCCACTTCTAGTAAAAGTCAGAGAAACATTCTACTTACTGTCCAGCCAGATACAACACCAAGACATCCACGTTCCTCTTAAAGCCACAGATCTTCAGCTGTTTCTCTACTGCCTGACAGTACACAGTACATTTTTAAGTACAAGATCCTGCATAAATCATTACATTGTCACACACACATATTCAGGCTCTAAATTAATACACATGCCAAAGTTAACCTATGAATCATGGCCCCTCACAAACTATAGCAAAATATAAAACAAAGAAATATTAAACTAATAGTTTCTACTTTAAATTGATAAAAAAAGACACCAACAATTATGTTACGCTCACTCTAGATTTTTTTTAGTTTTTTTTTTCCTGTTGAGAATCATAGTTCATAGATATGAGACTGCTGTTCAAAGAAGGGGCTCCTCAGCTTGTGTCAGGCAAACTGTACAGCTGACCACCAGGAGAACAGCTTAACTTGCAATACATTTGCAGATTTATTTTATGCATATCATTTTTTAAAAGTATGTATTCAGAAAACTGTATACTTAACTTTGAAAAACATAGAAGTAAATGAAATGTTCAGAGCACGTTAGTGATATGCCATAATTTGTAAAGGCAATTCTTTTAACATGAGTATTAAGATCTCAGTGACAGCAGTTAATAAATGTTGTCTCCACAGAACAACATGGGGTTAGTAAATGACGTACTACGCCCAGCATCAGTAAGATTTTTGCTTACAACACAAAATTGCAAATTGTTGAGCTTGTTTAGTTTGGATAAGAGAAGGTCCCTGGGAGATCTCCTTGCAGCCTTCCAGTACTTGAGGGGAACTTACAATCAGGAAGGGGAGTGGCTTTTTACATGGTCTAATAGTGATAGGACAAGGGGGAATGGCTTTAAAGTAAAAGAGGGGAGGTTTAGGTTAGAGGTAATTCTTTATTCAGAGAGTGAGAAGGCCTTGGCAGAGACTGCTCAGCGAGGTTGTGGATGCCCCATCCCTGGAGGAGTTCAAGGCCGGCTTGGATGGGGCCCTGGGAAGCGTATCTAGTAAGTGGCAACCCTGCCCATGGCAGAAGGTTGGAGCTTTGAGGTCCTTTCCAACACAAGCCACTCTGTGATTCTATGACTCTATAAAATATTTTTGCAAATACAAAGCAGCTTCCAAGTACTAATCATACCATACTGATGGTATGATTAGAGCAGCCTGTACTAGCTGCATGATGAGTCCGTGTAGCGTGTTCTGGAGCTTAAGATAGATTTGGGTGCAAACACAAGTGCATGAAACCTGCGGTACTTTCCCAGGGGATCCAGCGGGGCGTATGGTGTACACTGACTCAGAACAGCCGGTGGTCGGACATTTGTCCACAACTTGATATGGCTGCAGCCCGATTGCAGCCATCAGGCAGGGAAAGTCCTGGACAAACGGCCCACACAATCTGCCAATGGAAAAGGAAAACTGCCTGGAGGAAGGCAGCTGTACCCGGGGAGAGCAAAGGGGAGCAGCTGCCAGGCGCGCAGACGGGAGTAATCCTACCTCCAAAATGGAGCTCAACAGCCATGCTTAAGGGAAAGGGCAGTGCCCGAAGTGCCCGAGCACTAGCTGAGCTTTCCCCATCTCCTCCCCCCAGCCGAGCCCCGGCCCTCTGCCACGCCGTCCCAGCGGAGCCCCCAGCCCGACCGCGGCACGCCGCCCACCGGAGAGGCGAGGCGGGAGGGCTACGGCGGCGGGCGGCTCCGAGGGGCCGCGCCGGGGCGGCAGCGGCGATGCCGTCTGCTGCGGCTGCGGGCGCCGCTGGTCGGCGGGAGTGCCGCGGCTCCGCTCACCTGCCTGCCGGCCGCGTCGGCAGCCGCCGCCATTTTAGAGTCGCGTTCCTAGGCGACCGGAGCGAGGGAAGGGGCGCCCGGAGCGATGTTTATGACATCCACATGTGCAAGCAATTGTTGCCGTGTTGTTATTTTTAAAACTATTTTATGCACGGCACAAGCTGAAGAATAGAAAAAGCTTTTTCCAGGGTGCGTGTGTGTGCTGATGTGCGTGCAGGACAATGGAAAACGTTTGATTGAACTACAAAATAAAGTCTGAAAACTTGGAGCTTTATTTAGAACATAATTTACAGAGAACACTCGAATTAGCAGAAATAGCCATTGTAAATGACGTGCAACTGATTAGACAAAGAGCAAGAGCTGCAAGTATATGAATAAGCTGTCCCTCATGGAATTAATTATGTGCATGCCTTTGCTTGTTCAGACTGCTGAAATGACATCGATGGAGTGCGAATGATGGAGGAATGGAGCTGCAGTGCAAGTATTATATTGCAAATATCTCATTTTCATAGAAAAATGGTGTGGGTGGCTTCCATTTCAGCTAGTTAGATTTAAAAAGTAGAAACCTCAAATAAGAAAGGCTTGACATCTTAAAGGTAGAAAACTGGCAACAGAAATGTCTTTAATCACTTATTTTAACTCCTATAAATATCCCTAGGGTGTTAACAAAAAAAGAGGAGGAAATGTGCTGGAGATGTAGAAACTTGTACACAGATCTGTAGTTCTTATGTTGCACTGGAATCTTTGGATTTTGGAAGGTGAGGTGGTTATTAACGAAAAAGTCAACCTTAATATTAAAATTGTTTTATCAAGTAGCCAAATCTGAATTTGCTTGTCACACCATGTTTAAGTATGAAGAGCAAGGGAACCTCTAGAAGGTATTTGGTTGCATTCCAGTGTGACATCCATTGGTTGAGGTTTGTTTTCATTTGTTCTGTTGAGATGCTTTTCATTATTAATAACTGATTGATACTTAGTCTGGATACCTACACATATAAAGCTAAGTATGCCCAAATGTATGAAGTTTAAAGTTAACCTATCTTATTTTTCCTGTGCCTATTGGCACCTAAAATCTCCACTAAGTGTAAAGAAATTTGGGTGGAAAATTTTTGGATTCACACTGAGTTATCAGCATACTTTCTTCTATCACGTGTTGTCCTTTTCCAAAACATATGACCTATTTAATCTTACTCCTGGATGGCTGTGCATAAAATGAATAAATGATCACTTACTCTTCTGGATATTCACAGTAATGGCTAACTTACTATACATATCTTGCCAAAAAATCACTGTTATATTTCTATGCTAAAAATACTTTATTTGCTTATACACAGGTGTAGAGTCACAACAAGACACAATGTGATCTTACAGATATGATAACAGAACATGAAAAGAGGGGAAGCACACATCTTGTTTTCACCGGCAAAGGTGGTAGGCCAGCTCTGGAAATTGTTCATTTTATGAACCACCCAAACTGCAGGTACTGCATTTCATCTGACCCACAGAGTTACACTGTGTATTCCCTGAGGTATCTCAGAGGCATTATTGGGTACATAAATATGACTGTGATTCAATCCCACGCCATGGCTAAGGGGGATTGCCATTGCATTGCTGTAGAGACCACATTACAGAAACATGTTTGCTTTGGATAATGAAGTTCAGGTTAAACATGGTTTAGAACGAAACCCATTTCTATATATATTGCTGTACCCCTGCATATGGGCTTTCACGTCCCCTAATCCAGTTTCCCACATTCTCCATCTTGTCTGAGGAAGATGCAGTGGAGAGAGTATTAAATGATAAGGACGTTCATCCCAGGAGCTGGGAAGGGAAAAGACTTCTTCCCAGAGCCCAGACAGTTTCCAAGACTACTTCCTTCCTGCAAATGCAAACAATCACTGCTCTGCTTTCAAGCTCAGCAGTGGGGAGGGAACTCTGTACTCCACGTTCAGCCTTAGTGAGTCTGATTTCCAGTTGAGACCCTTGACTGACAGCATATGCACCAGTGTCAAGTAACCTCAGTGGTTTTGGAGATGGTGTAGGTTACAAAGCGTAGTAAGGCTTAGCCTAATTAGCCGCAAGAGATGGTCCCAAACTCTCACTTTAACAGTAACTATGGAAGTATTTTGATTTGCTTTCTCAGTTCATGGCATTTACTTAATTCTGCTTGCATCTATAGTTTGCCAGGTATTCTCCAAATAAATAAAAGACAACGTGCTTTCTGGAAGTGACCTTGGTAAGTTTCTTTAGGAATTCTATTTCAGCTACCAAATTCACCAGCCACCTTTTTTTCCTTCTCAGTACAGCAAGAAGAAAAAGCTACTGTTTTGTATGTGTATACAAATGTAGTGCTGTTGTCTAAATCTCAAGTTTTGGGTTTATCTGGGTTCTGACAAAACTAAGTACTTTATGATGAAAAACTGTTAAAACAAGAATTATGCATGATGTCTTCTTATGGAAATCCTACTATATGTGAGTTGAATATACTGAAAAAATGTGGGTTTTTTTTTGATCTTATGCTATGTCCCTGTAAAACTTCTAGTCCAGTAAGAATTGTTAATATGTACAGCAAACAAAGAATCTTATGCCAAACACTCGTCTTTTCTAGCAATAAAACAGCAGGCTCTCTGTAACATTTCTGTCTCCAAAACCCTAAACATTCTTCTTCATGGTGTGATTTGCATAGCCAAGATGTAAGTTTTGTGGAGCTGAAGTTAATCTAAATCAAGCTATTCTGCAATTACTGTTTGGTAGAGATAGATATTACATGAATTACAGAAAAGATTCTTATGTCTTTGGTTGAGCTTAATTATTCCATAAGAGAACAAGCTATGCTGCCATCCTATTTTTTTTTCCCTAAATCATTTGTTTTAATGGGCTGTAGTCACTAGAATGACCTCCTCATGTGTTTCAGCTTTAATTCTTCATGAGGTTCATCTAGCAGGTAACACTCAAACACTTAATAAATGATGGACTAAGCCATTCAGTTTTTTTAGTTCTGATTTTGATAGTGTATTGAAAAGCTGAGAGCAGAACGCAACTTTGTAATTTAACGTATTGTTCAGTAGGTATGAAAGATGCAAAATGCAAATAACAGTGTCTGGTAAATAACATTTTAAATTGCCGAAGTATAAAATATTCAAAATTCATTTTTTTATGCCTACTGTATTATCAGATGATGCTCTGTATTTTTCAGGGTTTATTTTCAATTTCTGTATAATTTCACAGAAATACAGTTGTGAAGGTCTACATTCCTATACTCATTATACTACCAAGATTTTTTTTTTTTTAAATAGAATTTCGTGCAATGTTTATAAGTAAAATTATTTATGTTTTCATTTAGGTAATTTAACATATTTGCATGTTAGTCTCATCTTTGTAGTCTTGTTGACCTCTGATTTAATTATGTTACATTACATCTTCCTGATGAAGCTGCCTTTTTACAATGTATTTTAGTGTAAAAATAAATACTGAAGAATAAAATAGTGAGATTGCACACACCACTTTTAAAAAGAAATCAGTGCAACATACATCATTATAGTAACAGTGCTTGCACGGTTCCTTCATTTATTATCGTCTACAATTAAATACTTATCATCAAAGGTACTATGGTGTATGGCTTTTTCACAAAATATATTTTTAAAAATTGCATCTGCATTTTATAGAATCAAGTAATTTTTGTTGGAAGGGATCTTGAGTTCATATAATCCAATGCCCCAGTCAAAGCAGATCCCACTATTTACTTTCACTTCCATGTTTGTACAGTTCTGCATGTTAACCAAACATCCATAAACAGTAAGAAAATTATCTGCAGTTTAGTAAGTGGGACTATTTTAAACTGTCCATGTTACAGCAATGCTATGCACAGACTGATACAATTAAATTGCTTTTGACATTGTACAAAAAATTCACTTGAAAAGGTGTGAAGTAAATTCAATATATTGTAGATTAGTGCATATTTCCTTTTTTTCTTCTTGTTACCGGAAATATTTTATCAGTGTTTATCAGGTGAAACCTGGAAGCCTGAGGAAAGATCAGTAGGATATCCCACCTGCATTCCAGCTATAGCTCCAGAAAAGCACAGGTCTCCCGCAAGCCCAGTAGCTGCAAGCCCTGTGCAGATGTTTCAGATACTCCACACTAAAGCATTTAGGCATTTGCATGATTTGAATCACACTATTAATCTTATTGATAGCACTGATGATATCTCAGTGACCTTAACAACTTCAGAAGCAGAACTGTGGGAGAACAATTATTTTTCAATAAATACTAAAAGCTTGATGCTATATTTAAAAAGTTAACAGAAACATGGTATTATCCCAGGTTGGAAGGGATCCACAAAGATCACTGAGTCCAACTCCATCCAAAAATCTGACCATATGTCTGAGAGCACTGTCCAGATGTTTCTTGAACTCTGGCAGTTTGGCACCATGACCACTGCCCTGGAAGCCTGTTCCAGTGCTTGACCACCCCCAGTGAAAAACCTTTTCCGATATCCAACATCACTCTCCCCATTGCAGCTCCATGCTGTTTCCTCAGGCCCTGTTGCTGTCACCAGAGAGCAGAGAGCACTGCCCCTCCACTCCCCTCTTAAGGAGCTGGAGATGCCATGAGGTCTCTTCTCAGCATCCTCTTCTCTGGGCTGAACAAACCAAAGGACCTCAGCTGCTCCTCTTATGTCTTCCCCTCTAGACCCTCTACCTTCTTTGTAGCCTTCCTTTGGACACTCTAATAATTTTATGTCCCTTTTGTACTGTGGTACCCAAAACTGCACACAGTATTCAAGGTAAGTACCAGTGCAGTGTAGGGTGGTACAATCCCTTCCCTCAGCCACCTATCCATGCTTTTCATGATGCACCACAGGATACAGTTGGCCTTCCTGGCTGCCTGGAAGCACTGTTGACAGATGCTCAATTTGCTGCCAATGTTGAACCCCACCACAAGACAGATCACATCTTAAGCGGGCTGAGAGGTGAACATCTACCTCTGTCAGCTTTTAAAAGACAATTAAAAACAAAGTCTCTGTGTTACTG